CACCCACCTCTTTTTAGCCTTGTTACAGAACCAAAGGGAAATCATATTTCAAGATGGATACCCTCTCTCTTCATCTGCACTGCTTATTACTGCATCCAAGAAAGATCAAAGCTACCTAAAGTACTCTCAGAGCTTGCAGCCCCTTGAAAATTATTCACAGCAACGAGATGAAGACTGCCTCCACTTTTATCTTCACCTTACTTAGCAAGCGAGTCCTATTTGTCCTTTTTTCGGACAGATTTGCCGTGCTCTTCTCACAGGCTACATGCTCTGCGGGGGAATTGATTATTCAAGAAGGCAAACACATTCAATGTCATTATTACTTTTTTTATTTGCCACTAAAAGGGGAAAACGCACAACTCCCCTCTGCCAGGTATGGATTTATGTATCGGCATTACCCAAAACGAGCAGCAATAATCAAATGTGACCAGTATCAAGCGGTGACTGAGGCAGCAGACTAACCCGGGGACCCTCTCCCTCTCGGTCTATCCTGAAACAGCTGTTTGAGCTCTAATTAAAGGGAAGTAGCAGGTGTCACCTGTGCCCCAACTGCAGGGGCACACCTGGTTGCATTAATTTGATCCAAAGTGGTTTTGACGGACTGCCTGCTCTCTGGCGTCCCATATTAAGCCACTGGAACTGAGCACCTGCTTGAAGCGGGCAGGAGAGAGCGCCCCACTAACACCGCTCTGTGGAGGACCGCCAGGCTGGCGAGCCCAAGTCTTCGCAGAGACCCAGGGGACGGCTCCCTCATCCCTGACTCCGACTCACCCGCAACATCTGCAGACCTGCGACGCCGACCTTTAGTCACACCGGTGCTGGGTGTGCCCGAGATAATTGTCTGTGGAAACCTCCCCGGGGCTGTAAAGGCAGCTTGTTTCAGATCTCCTGATGATTTCACAGGACATTTAACTTTACACCTCTCATTTGTTACCTCTTCAGGGCATTTCCAAATATCCATTACCAGGTTCCCAGGGAATGTGGCAACCCTTCACCTCCACTGGCTTTTATGTGTATGCATAAATTGCCTGGGGGATAAATGTGACACTGCATTTGCAGGTACTGACATGTGTTTGTGTGCAAGCTTAAAGCAAACAGATGACCTTCAAACCTGAGCCGTGACAACAACAACAAAAAGCCCAGATTGTGGAACTGCAGATGCGGTGTTGTGTCTTGTCTCTGACACTTCAATTGCCTAATGAAATTTACATCAGCAGAGAATGAAGCTGCAGCGATTTGAATGGGTCCTGACTCTGGTCATGCTGCACTCTCTGTTGCAACACTTTCTTTGTGCCACGACAATACATTAATTTCATGAGTCAACAGGCTACGACTGGCAGTTTGTGTCGAGCTAAACACTGTTTAATTGGATTCTGATCCATGGCAACACCACCGGAGGCTTGTTTCCATCTTTTATTTCAGCAGCACCTGGAGCGTAATGGTGGTGATTACATCCCTGCTGTGGTGTCCCAGTGGTTCAGGCTTCGCGGGCCCATGGGAATACGCTGCTAACAGTCACAGTCCATGCTGCCCTGCTGCCCTGTTTGGCTGCTGGCAGACCCTGAGCTGCTGCTGCTGCTGCTGCTGCTGGGAGGTTTTGTTACACTGTAGAGACGAGGTTCAAAAGGAATCATAAAACCAAATTGTTTAGGCGAGAATAAATAAATTTGTTCAATTTTTATTTATTTTTTGCACAGAATGTCCAACATGTCACTCTGCCACCAGTAGTCTTAAGTGCTTTCAGGACAAATCATCACATGTAACAATATTGGTGAAATGTACCTTGCAACACATGAGGCTTGTACAAAAGGCTTCTCTGTTTATCCGAGTCAGAACTGCTTTGTAGCCTGTGTCGGCAGCAACATTTAAACAACGTTGGGCCAGTCCATTTGGTTCATTCATATTTCATTTAGTTTGGAATTGGAACCGAAAAAAGGATGAATTTGATGTTTTTTGTAGTTTGTTATTCATATACATTTGTTTTTCTAGTAAGAGTGTGTTTTGTCTTACCCAAACTATTTGTTATTTCTTCATTTATTTACTGACATGGGTTGTTGCTGTTTTTTAATGCACCGGCACTAATGAAGCCCTGGTATTCAAAACATCTGTCTAAATGAATCAGACTTCTAACTGCATAAATGAGTTTGGAAAGACTCCAATTTTATACATGTCCTTTTTTCTAGTACATGACAATTTATCCCGAGGAGTGCGACAATGTACCCGGTGATGGGGCGACTTTTCACAAATCCATGTACATACCCATTTATAACTGTTAATTAGAGTGAGAAATAAAACTCTTAAGAATATACATTTGTGCACTAGAATGTATTATTTCATTTAGTATAGAAAATGAGTGACTGTGATGTACTGAGACTGAGAAGTTGAAGTGAAAGCAAAAAGTGTGAGAAGATGCTTCGCTCTCCCCTAAAACAAGCTCAAGTACAGTCGAGATCAAGACAGACTCGTTAGAGGCACACAATGAAAACACCTCAAAGTAGCCTCAATTAAAGTTAGCGTTGATGATCTTATTAAAAAACATTTTTTGTTATATTAGTTGAAATTTTCATTAGCAGCAATAAATCAAATGCTTGGTGATTTTGGAAGAGAGTTGGCAACACTGGGCTGGTGTTTTCGGTTGAATAATTTTTCAAATCAAGTTTACCCTTCATAGTTTCTAAAGATTAGCAACCCTAGTTGTAAATTTACTTTGAGAGGACTTTTATTAAACACAATCAATTCACTTTTGATCCAAAGCAAACACATATAGCACTACTGGTTGAATATTAACATGTACATTGTCAGATTCACAGGGATTTAAGTATTCAACTTATTTTTTTCAGGGCGAAAATAAGTAAAATACAGATATGTTTATTAGAATTAAACCGGCAATTGCCGAAACAGTCCCAGCACATGGTTTATTCAGTAGCTGTGCTGGAGCTTTCGATCGTAACACATAATCTTCCTCAAAAACTCAGGCATCTGCTGAGGAACGTCACGGTGACGACAAGACTCCAGGAGGACTGTTTTGTTTCATTTGACAGAGCATTAAAAATATATATGAAATGTGTTAATCTGTTAGCTTTAGTTGTGTTGGAAGGTGGATTGTGTTTGTTTTCCCCTGCTTCCAGTATTTATGCTAAACTGAGCTAATCTGGTCTGAGAGTGGCAACTCTTTGCAAGAAAGCTATTAAGTGTATTTCACAAAATGTCTCTCAACTATTTCTTTTCAGATATAAAACCTAATTTAATGATGTATACAGAAAACCTCTTCTTAATTCCTGAGTTTACCAAACTCATTTCATTTACAAAAAAATGTCCTTGGCGAGGATAAAGTCTTCCGAGTTTAAAATAGTTGAGAATTAAATCATTTGGAAATGAAATCTTTCAACATCTTCAGAGCGACGCCATGCTAATGCGGCCCTGATCAGACGGAGCGATCGCCCTCTCCTTCCAAGCAAAGCTGTGAAAGGTCACTGACCCCTGCCGATGGCGATCTGGGACGACGGCCTGCACATGAAGTCAGCACTGACAGCACAGGGAGGGATAACATTGCTGGGCCTCTGACCTTCAGTGTAGCCCCACACCGTCTTACAACCACGGAGTCAGACATATCTGAATAATACATCAGCCTCTCCTGCTGGGACCACCCCCACCACGCATACAAACAGAGGTACACATCACAGCATTCACAACATGTGTGGTCTGTATCCCACAGCATTCCATACAATAATGACCACAGCTGAGGTCAGGTCCCTGTACCTTACAATATGTTTATAAAGGGACAAATGTCATTGAAGTGCTTTTTTTAGCTGCAATGGGTTAGCCCAGTTTTGTTTCCCACATTGTATTGAAATTGATTGTTATTGGTGTTTTTTTATGTTCCACACACAATTATCTCCAATTCAGTTTCAAACCTTCAAGCTTATTAACACTTTGCCTGCTCTCCATCCTGCCATTTATTCTTTTACATTCAAATTGTGACTTCTTTTTATTTTAAGGCTTAAAAGACAGAGAAAATCAACACAATGCTGCAGTTGTGGCCTACACAGTAATTCCTCACCTCCCTGCGAGTAAGCGAACAATAGCTCGAGCCTCGAGAAGTCTGCTGTTTACACAGTGAGAATGAACAGAAATGCATGAAACATTTTAAAATCCCCTGTGATTCCTGGAAAGGCGGGCTGTCTTGCTCTTGTCTCCATCTGCTTTACATACAGTAACAGCTTCACAGTTTGCACGGAGATTATTTGAATTTCAGAGTGTTTGACATTTGATAATAGTAGTATATAGATTCTAGACTTCCCTGCCGACGGCTTCCTATCATGTTTGTTCAGCTACATATCAATCAACCTTCCAGGAATATCTGTATTTATATAAAGATTCTGAGTAGCAGGAGCAATGAAAAGAGGGGGGAAACAAATGTTTGTGAAACAATTGCATTCATTTATTATGTTGGGAGAGCTGTTGTCTCAACACCTTTTAATGACTGGAGTTTACCGTTGAGACATATTCATTTAACGTGTCTCTGTATTTGTGGAAGTAAATCAGGCGGTGCAGTCACACGATCACTGTTTTGTTTCAATTGATTGAGCTTTACTCATCATGTAAAGATCATCTAAATAAGAAAGACAGATGTTTGTGCAGCTACAAGGCTGAGAGGGTGTGTGTGTGTGTGTGTGTGTGTGTGTGTTAGGGAGGTGGGTCGTCTATATAGTTCAATCAATGTCCGATACTGCATTTTATAAATTTGGAGTGCAGAGGTTACTCCCCTCTACTGGAGCACAGGGTGAATGCAGATCAAAGTTTGTTTTGTAAAAACAAATCCAAAATAAAAACGTCTACATCCTTGAAATTTCTTGAATTGAAATATCGCTGAGTTCACGTATTTGTGCAGTATTTTGAGAAGTTGTTCTATTCTTGTCTTCGACACCTTGCTCTTATCGCGGAACCAATGTTCTCCGCTGTCCGAGTTCCCTTCCGGTCTGTTTTTGATGTAGCACAGGTATGGCTAAGGCATGGCTAAGGCAGCTCCTGCACTGCTTACAGTCCACGTTATGAAAGATAGTATTGGATTAACGGTGTAAATGTCGTGATAACAGGTAAATATAACATTGAGCGTATTAAATTCCTCTTTAGCTAGTAAGTAAACGTAACGTCACTGTTTAGTAATGCGTCGGTTTCCTGTATTTGATGTTCGTGCGCGTATTAGCCTAAATCAACTTAAATGTGACACTTTTGATACTTTGCAAAGATAATTTGTATTTCCAGCTGTTTGCCAAAAAAAGTAGTCATGTCTCTGATTGTCTTATTAACATGCATGTTATCTAATATTACGTTATTGGAGCTGGTTGTTGTCACACAGTGGAGACTTCTGGGATGCTTTACCAGGAGTCAATAATTCGTTACAAATATTATAGGCTACATAATTAAATGATGTACACTTTGTCATTATTTCATTTTAGTATTTGCTTCAGAATTAAACTAAACATTTAGACAAATCCTCTTGTTTAGTTCTCATATATAACTTGTATTTGAGTGTTATAAATATATATTTTAATTAAAGATATCATTCAACTATGCAGCAACAAATGTGACCTCAATTCATCGCTATGTTATTTTGTTATTGTTGATGTTTTTATGACCAAATAGTGGATACAGGTTAGAAATTACACTAGATGTTTAAGGTTTTTAAGAAAAATGACAGAATTTGAGGTGAACTTTCAGTGAAGGTTTACTCTGCCCATCTTCCTGAATGACGTCCATAATGTTATCTGACAGTAGCACCGTAATTTCCCCAAATATCCAAAATAATTCATTTTTTTGTGTTTATTTGCTAAATGTGTATTAATTGGAGGGCCCTGCAGGGTCATAACTGTCCTGAACCTGGGGACTACCTTCAGGCATGTGGCAGATTAAATGCCACCATTCACTTTACTTGTGTTCAGTGACAAGTCCGCCTCAAGGTTCTCAAGGCCCAGTTTCTATACTCAAATGAACCAGCTGCTCAGTGTTGGCTGCCTCGTGGTTTGGCTTCACAGAGCATCTGAACACGGATGGAGTCACATGGAGGCCGAGTCTGGCGGACACAGACACCATGTGACCGAGTGTCTGAGCATGTGTGTTTTGGCTCGGGACGTCCTCACCTGCGTTTTGTGGTTGCCAATTTGGAAATTGGGTGTATACATGTGTTTTAGTGCAGCAAAGAGGCTGTGTGTGTGTGTGTGTGTGTGTGTGTGTGTGTGTGTGTGTGTGTGTACGTGTGTACGATGGTGGGCAGTTTTAGCTAATCGTGGACCCATGACCATCGTTGAAGTATTCCACAAGCAGTGCACATGTGAATGTAGCAGTGCATCCTCATTAGTGCTGCCCTAACTCACCTTCACTGTCTGTCCCTCAGCATACCCACAGACCTTCTCGTCAATGGCCATGCTGTGGTCAAAGGTCTCTGCTGCTCTGCCTCATAATGAGGAACAGCTTCCACTGCAGTTCAGCGACAAAGTGGAGTCAAGTGTGGTGGAAATGCTGAAGCGGTCTCGTCGGCAGCTTTACAGCGACACCTCCAGCGCCAGCCGGACGCTTACCGCTCAGATCATTCTGGATTTCTCGTGGGAGAAACTGAACACGGGAACATGGCGCCATGTGGACAAAGAGTGGAGACGCGTGTATTCCTACGGCTGCCTGTTCAAAGTGGCCGCTCTGTGCCGGGACAATCCGTCGGCAGATGATGTCGTGCAGGCCGTGAGGACTTGTGACATGGGTTTACTCATGGGGGCGGCCATCTTGGATAACATACTTCAGGTTATTGTTCGGATTCTGCAAGAAGAAGTCAGGAAATCCACTAAACCAGAAGAGGAACGTGAACACGCTGAAGTCAAGGTAGGTCCCAGGTGGTTTCATTTTAAACACACATCATTCATGTGAGCGTGTCACTTTAGTTTATCATAAGTCATAAGTTAACTCAGTGATGCCGTCAGAAGAAGTGGGAATAGTCACGTGATGCTTTGGTAAGATATTAGTTGAATGCAACTTTTTTCAACATTGTTTTCCTAAAATTCTTCAGCCTTAAAACAAATTGCCAAAGCACATTTATTATCACAAGAATAAAAGCAAGGAAATCATCATGATGATGAAATAAGATGTGTACTGCTGGTTTCATTTAGGTGACCAATAAGAGCACTTTGTTCATCTAAGATATGCATTAAAAACTACGTAGAGAAGCAGTTTCGTGTGTTTTATGTGTTTTCTGTGGTGCAGCCACAGCCGAGATTCTTGGAGGACTTTTCAGACTCGGCTTCTCTAAAGTTTTAGAGAACTTTTTCCTTTGTCGCCCTTTATTTTGTCGCACTCCATCAGACGTCACTGACAATAAAGGGCAACAAACACTCAAATGTCAGATCACTTTGTTTAGATGCCGTCACGATGGAGAGTTTAGAGGAAGGTTGGCTGGATGTTTGTTTCTCTTTGCCTTTAAAAGAAAAGCATACATTTAACCAGCTTGATTATAATTGTCTATTTGGTCTCTAGAGTCGAGCTGAACAACTATTTTAATTATCTTTTCTTCTGCCAATTAATTCTCAGTAAATCAAATAATTGGTAAACTAAGTAAATGTCAAAAGGTAAGAAATCCCCATGTGCCCATATGAGATATCTCCAAATAGCTTCTTTTGCCCCGGCAACAGTCCAAAATGTAATTATATAGAATATACTATCACATTAAGAATCACAAATTGTCTTTAGCTTGACAAAGTGACGTAAACGGTACATTTTTCTCTTATAGAGAAATATGATGACAATATTTTTTCTTCATATTTTCCCCTTAAAGCTCTTCATCTGAGAGTTGAATTAAAGACTTGACAACCCCTGTTGTTGTTGTTGCATCATTCAGAGAGTGAAGATGGAGTGCCCACGTGTTCCCGTGATCAAAGAGGAGTCAGCAGTTCCCAGGATAAAGTGTCCTTCACTGGAGAGCTTCAGCACCAACTACCTGCTCCCCCTCAAACCAGTGGTTCTAGAGGGGATCATTGAGCACTGGCCCGCCCTCAACCAACACCCCTGGAGGTTTGTTTTTTTACGTTGAGAAAAGAAACTGGCGGTGTTAATAACTACGCGACTAGTCCTCCATCATGGTGAAACACTACAACCAAACCGTATGTTCATTCTAATCCCACTGATTTACAAGTGTGATGCCAGCTGAGTGTTCCCATCTAGCTGTGAGGACAGAAAACCTGCAGCGCTCTGGTACCGAAGCACCACTGTCGCATACCATATGACTCACATCTGTTGTTTTTTAAACCTGGCACTATAATGTGTGGTGTAAGTTTCACTCATGGAAACATCCCTGATTGCTGACTCTGTCTGCCACCAGAGTCTGATATAACGTTTAGGATTATCCCTCACTGTCCTCCCTCTCGCTGCCGACTCCCGACAGCTGACTATTCGCTCTGATGGTGGAGGACGACGCCCACAAGTGCACACGTGGCAGATTTTGTTTCAGCAGGGCTGGAATCCTCAATGACCAGATTTGTGACTTTAATCGTTGTTTTACAGTAACGATTGACTCATTGAGTTTTCTCCCTCCGACACAGCATAGCGTACCTGAGGTCTGTGGCCGGCTGTCGGACGGTTCCTGTTGAGGTGGGGTCCAGGTACACGGACGAGGAATGGTCACAGACACTGCTCACGGTCGATGAGTTCATTGATCGATACATTTTGAATAAAGTAAGCGCATCCTCATCGAGTGTTGCTGTTGACAAAGAACGATCTCGACGTGGTTTCTAACACACTGTTTTGATTTTTCCCAGGAGGGAGTGAAAGGTTTGGGTTATCTCGCTCAACACCAGCTCTTTGATCAGGTACGGTATCGTCTTCTCTGACGACATCATTACCGAAATACTACTCTAATCATTTTGTCAGTTTACTCGTTGATTTATTCGGGTTATATTTTTTGGCCCCATGAAGAATTGAACTCTCCTTATTCCCAGCTGTCATCTTGCCGCCGCGTTGTTTTGAACAGTATTGACTGTTGGTCCTAATTTTACCGCACAAGTCAATACATTGTCTGGATTGAACTTTACTAAAAGGGCACCTTGTCGAGCTAAAAGTTATGTATTTTGGGCTGTTTATTAGAACAGAATGATTTTTCACACAATAGCCTCATCCTTCAGGAGTAATCAGCTAATCACATGTTAATTACATGGATTAAGAAGACAAATTCAATGTTTCCCTTTAGATAATCAACACATCTTGAGACACGATGGGAATGTCATTCGTTTTGCAGGTATTTGGTCTTAAATAGTTGTATAAACTATTACCAAAGTCTCTCTAAGTATAAATGTATATATGGATTTTATAAAGGATTTTATATTGTTTTGTTTTGATTTTAAAGATGTGTATATATGTTCTACGTGTGTGTAACATGAACAGGCTTTAAGTTAAATTTCATTGCGCAACCCTTTGTTGTAAAATCACAAATAACGGAAACCTAAAAAAACTAGAGGAATGTTTCACCAAACTTGTTAAAATGTACAATTCATGACAATCCTTCCAATAGAAGTTTGAGATGTTTCAGTCTGGACCACAGTGGAAATACCATTTTTTAATTTTGTATTGCATGTTACCTGCTGGAAAACTGTTAGAAACGACGAGGTATGATTCAGCGAGCGAGTCTGAAACGCCCTCCTGGTGTGATCTTGTTTGTTTGACGTTGCCTCAGATACCAGAGCTGAAGGAAGACATCCGTCCTCCTGACTACTGCTGTCTTGGTGAAGGAGACGAAGACGACATCACTGTTAACGCGTGGTTTGGGCCCGGAGGTACGGTGTCTCCTCTTCACCAAGACCCTCAGCAGAACTTCCTGGCTCAGGTGATGATATGAAGGCTATTGTACGAATGCAGTTAGTGTCAAAGATGTGTCTCGCTGTTTGTTTACCACGTGGGATTTCCCCTTGTTTTTGTCCACCAGGTGGTGGGAAGCAAATACATTCGCCTATATTCCCCAGAGGACACAGACAAGCTGTACCCTCATCAATCACAGCTCCTTCACAATACCAGTCAGGTGGGGTTGACAGTCCATAGAGATGGTGCACGTTGAGCCTAATATATGCAGCATTTCCAATTTCTGACTCCTTCCATGCAGGTGGAGGTGGAGAATCCGGACGGGGAGCGCTTCCCGGAGTTCGCCCGGGCTCCGTATCTGGAATGCATGTTACAGCCCGGAGACGTGCTGTTCATCCCCGTCCAACACTGGCATTATGTCCGATCCTTAGAGCTCAGCTTCTCCGTCAGCTTCTGGTGGTCGTGACTGCAGATCCATGAGTAAAAAATAAAGTTATTTTTGTACAGAACAATTTGAGTTGAGCTTGTTTTCTGAGTCTGTGGAGGGAAATCAATTATGAGTTTTTAACTAATGCGAGGCTAATTCTCCTGAATCTAAGGACAACCGCTGATCACACGAACCTTTGATCCGTGAGCAATGAACACTCACTGCTGAGTGATTAGTTTAATTGTGCTGCTCGTGATTACAGCAACATCTATTGTGTGGAAAGCTAACAGCGGGGAGAGAGAAAAGCAATGAGCAGTTAAAACTGTTTGTGCTCATCTCATCCTGCATGTAATTACGGAGAGTTCTTAGTCATCTCACTTGATAGGATGCGTTTCTCTTTTCAAATTGGTATATTTAATTGTGTTGTGAACCTTATTCATACAACTATCCTCAGATGTGTGATTTCCATAATTCATGGTAATGAGGCAAGTCTTCAAATGTAATAACCCAGTGAGCTACAGGTATAAAAATGTGGTAAACACGTCTCTCTGGTTAAACTGACAGTCAGAGACAATCAAGCAGTTCACAGACGAGAATGAATGAATTAATCCCCTGGGCACAGACGTACTTTGAAGTAAAAGGTGCCTCCCTGATGAAGTACCTTGACAGTACAACTCTTGTCGAGCTTCAAAAACACGACCCCCGACTACGAAGACAGCAGCACTTCGTTTTACATGTCAGACCTCTAACAAGCCCCGGTCGTGTTTCCCACAGGTCCGTTTCAATCAAACCTTCTAACTAGAACCAGGAAGTATGCGGGGCTGTGACCAAATGAAGTAGATCAGCGCTGATGTACACATTTGATCTGCTTTTCAGCCAAATTCAGTCGACTGAAGTGGTGTGCTGGGAAATCAAGGCTGTGGAATAAATCTGAGGAGTTGTGTAGGATTGGTGTGGGGGGGGTGTAAACACAGTGGCTCAAGAAAATGGAATGAATTATAATATATTTTACTCTAATTTAGAAAAATGACAAAGTGCAAATAGATAAAAAGCGTCACGTTTCTGTTTATGAAACATTGTGGAATAAAGAACAGCTGATGCATCAGCCGGTGTTCAGGTAATAGACTCATCCCAACCTAGTTACGTTCCTTACGAGGTTATCTAAACTAACACCATGAACCCCGGCGGAGTTTAATTCTGTGAGTAAACGCTGTACACTTCACTTAGCCCATCAGCTCTTTGTTGTTGTGAAGTAGGCAGCACAATTGACTTAAGATCACACAAAACTGCTTACTCTCATTATAATGTAATCAATACGCAATTACAAGTGAAGTAGTGTGGGACCTCCGGGCCTATAACCCTTTCTCCTCCAGCCAGACGCTCTCCTCCTGCTCCTCTTTTGATTAATGGCCTCGTGGATTTTCCAATAAATCTGGCAAATCAGGATTAAAGCCAGTAGATTTATCTTGTTTTGTGTTACAATAAACTGGCCGTACACACTGGCTACGTTATGGTGAGTAAAAAACACCAATCCACTGAGATCTGAAACACAGGCTGGTGTAAGAAACAAACAGTGCCTTGTGTTTTCCATTTAATCTGTTCCAAACTCAGTTCAGTCAGGAAGCATCACATTAAAGTGTGAGCCCTCCATTTGTCTGATGTACAGGTCAAAAGCAACTTCATAAGCGTGACCTGAGTAATATTCCTCTCCATTCATATGTATTGATTGCTTGAACCTCTTATGTCCGTGGTTTCAGAGGCCTTGGCTGTGTTTGGCATCTACACCATCTTAACTGTTTATTACAAAATGCTTCACAACACAGTGAAGAGTTTTGCTCAGCATGTTCAATTAAATCACTGGAAAAGCATAAAACTGTATTCATCAAAGATTCACAACATTGGGAGGAAAACATCGACAAAATGCAAAATTCACAAAACAAAAAGTTAAGAACAATGACTGTCAGGCATTAATTAGTAAATATTTCTCTGAAACATGACAACAATATTGTGTTATTTTCTCTCTTCTATTTTTATTAAACTGTCAATCAGTCTGTCAAACTATGAACAGCTTTCAAAATATCAGTTTTAGACACAAACTGTTATGACACTGCCTTTAATAAGAAACCTGAGCTGGAAGCAATACACATAAGTACGGGATAAGGCAAGTGGTTATTCAAAAATCCTACAGTACGACAAACATGTAAAAGATCATGTTAATGATTAATGATGATACTGTGTAGTGTCGGGTTATTATTACAGACTGTACAAGGTACAATCTGAGCTGAACCATGTTACGCTTAAGGCAACTTAAAATGTTTCAGTAAGTTTCAATACTTCAAACTATTTCGAGTGTGAATGTTATCCAAATGTATACTACCTACAATGTGTTAATAGAAAGCTCCTCCCACAAAACTTATCAACGCTGATACAGAGATGTCCTCCTTCTAATATTCCTGCAAATCTCCGGAGAAGCTCTGCGTCCGCTCCACCGTGAAGAAGCAGAGCGTTCCGGTGAAGCCCAGGATGACCATCATCAGCAGCTGCCACTTGAGCAGCAGGTAACCGCTGTAGAAGAACGCCACTGCTGCGAAAACAGACTGACAGAGGAGAGCTTTGTAAGTCCAGCCCACAAGATCCATAAGATGATTGTATTGTTAAATGATTGGCTGTATCAAAATTAGGTTAAAAAATATAATATATCATTTGTCTCTTTTGGTATCGGATTTACAGACCTGTGCATGCTGTAACAGACAAAAAAAAATGCAATTTAATTCCAGTTGAATATAAAATGTCCAGGGTTTATTTCTTGTTACTGGCCAATTTTTGCAGCGAAGACAACGAGGGGGATTAAGAGATGTGTGAGGGTCTCGTTTTTTTCCTTTTTATGGGGCTTCAGGTGAATTTATTTCATACTTGACAAGACGACATCTTAACCCAGCTTTGCACAGCTCTGCTAACAAGGCCGGAGAACTGTCAACTCGGGATTACCTGGATGAATTTGAAGATGGCAAAAGCAGGCGTGCTGTGTTCAGCATAAACACAGCCCAGTATGCTGTAGAGTTGTGTGTTGAAACAACTGTCCCCAAGTCCAAGCAGGAAGCTGCACAGCAGGGCAATGGATACACTAAAAGAGAAAATATAACTCTCATTACAAACAAAGCACAGTTGTAACTGGCCTTCCCCGTGTTCACTCTTCTTCATTGTTAAATGGTGAGAGAAATCCCCTACCTAGGAGCTAGAAACGGTTGAATTTGGGTGGTGGTATTAAAGACGACGGGGGCATCATCTGGGATGTTGAGGAAGATCAAATAGACAGCAACAAAATGGACGACCATTCCCAGAAACACCACAGAGGTCCGTCTGAAGCGATTGTTCTTGCACAACAATCCAAACAAGCCTCCACCTGACGAGAAAGAAGGTATTTATGAATGCAGAGACTCTCAATCCCCTCAACGAGCTCTGGTAGAGGAATGTTAACTTACCCACAATTTCTCCGATGCCTACCACAATCCCAGAGATCCCGATCAAGCCTTTAGCTGAATCTCCAAACTCCGTGGTGGCTCCGATACACGTCCCATACACTCCGCTGTAGAAAGATAGCTCCAGGCCTGCAGAAACAAGAGGGGCACGCTGCAGCTGCCAGCCGTCACCGGAGGGTTTAGATACATATTACATTAATGCATTCTCCATGCGACTTACCGCTGTATGCCATGCAGGGACCCAGGAGCAGTATAGTTTTAGTCTTCAGAAGCTGCAGGATGGTTTCTGAACGGGAGGAAACACAATACAATGATATGAATTGCTAATAAATATGTTGTATAATGATAACAAGTGGATTGAGCTCAGATAGAAACGCAGACGTTAAAAAACACCCAGGGGAGAATTTCAACCAGGAGGGGTTAAGGGAATTCAGATTTTAAAAGAAGAAATCCCACTCGGTCTGTTTCTACATGCCTGGATGCCCTCTTGACATGAATCAGTGTGCATCTTCGATAAACCCGAGACGTTTTAGGCAGGTGTACACGCCAGACAAAGAGCAATCTGATCAACCAAACAGCTTCAGGCTGCACTGAAGGCACGTGCAAGAGCAGCTAAAACAGATATAATCTGAAAGAGGCCGTTTCTCTGTACTCTCTCTTGTACTGCTAGAAGATTTTTATCCACATGAAAGACATTTTCACCCGAAGAAAAACAAAACTGACGGCTAGTTTCAGACTGAGAGCAGTGAAGTGCAGGGCACTAGAGGTTATGTCAAATAAAAGAAAACATAACTTTGTTGCCCTTTTCTGTAATACTTTGTGAAAAAAATCTCAGATGAACTGTGTCTCAAATCCACACGACGTAGTAATAGTATACAGTAAGTACATACTAATCATCATAGTATATTAACTTAGCAGGTAGTATACAAGGAAATCAATTTACTTTCCATTTTATACTAAAAGTGGACGATACACTACAAACACAAACTACTTCACAAATAGACATGCAAATGCTTTTTTTCTATCCTTTTAGTTTTCTGAGATCTTTTTCTTTTTCTTAGACGTAAGAAGCTCCTCAATGATCTTTGTGTCTATCAACAGCACGATACATATAAACATGGTAAGAACGAGTCTTGTCAGTACATATAGTTCATTGTGTATCCATCCTGACATACTTATCTGTAAATAATACAACTTACTGAATTCTGACTTGGCATCCTGCATGGCGGTGTTTGCTCTGTGCTTATACCTAAACAACACAAACGAAATCAATATAAACTTTGATGAAGTTGAAATAAAGAAATACAAGTTAACTGCACACACAAACGATCACATAACTTCATTCAAGTGATTTAAAAATCCAAGACACTTGATTCCTGAAAATCTCAACACGCTGCAAAAAAAAGAGTGTGTTTGACAGTCAATGACGGCTCCTTAAAGGACTCCTGGTAAAGCTGTTCATCACTCAAACTCAGCAGGGTCGCATAGCTGCATCTGAGAGAGAGATAACGGCTTCCAAACACACAAGCTGCTGCCACAAGACCGACCCAAATGTTTTCTCCAGAACTAGAACACTTCTGTACCATCGACTAATGTCAGTCTAATTATTTCTACTAATCGTTACACCGTTACAGGCCGCGCCTGAACATTCTGGGGCTTTAACCGCCGTCACTCTCGAAGAGAAAGTCTCCGTCCCAGCCGACACAAATCTGCCTGATTGCACCCTACTTGTATGAAGTGTGGTGATTAGGCTCGACTATGTCCAAATGTAAATGTAAATGATCCGCAGAAAAAAGGGGCATTTTTGTGAAGGACAGGAGTGATTTATAACTACAGAACTGCAGTGGTGAGTCATGTTGACAAATCTTGCAAAATCCAAGGTGGGTTATTTAAGAATATGTCTTTGTCAGGTGGTGTTGTTATAGTTCAACAGAGTCAACTGGATGAAAATAACTTTTTTTGCGTTGCATGAAACAGTCTGCTCTTTCCCTTTTTATTCATCACTTGAGGTTCGTACCCTCCTTGTCCTTTTCCAACAGTGGTTCAGACAAGTTTAATATATTCTGAGTGATTTTGACTACAGTGAAAAAGGAGTAATTATGTCGAGGATGTTCGCTTACATCACGCGAGTCGAGAGCAGCGACTGCCCTTCCTCTTCAGAGAGCAACTCCTCTTCATGATGGCTCTTCCTCAACACGAGGAAGCTGAGTGTGCCGAGTATGGAGGCGACCAGCAGGGACAGAAAGATGTTTTTCCTGCTGCTGTCTGAGGGATGAAGATTAAAATAAAGCGCTTAATTAAAAGACACACGATATATTAACAACATTAAGCTAGGAGCATATTCAGAATAACCAATCAGTCCTTTAATCCTCTTGGTATTTTGCTTTCATCATCATGCAAGACTTTGCTGTTATATTCACGACAGTACTTACTGGAGTGTAACCCTACCTGATATCTCTGTCCTTCCATTCCAGTCTAAATAAATGTAAAGATTGCCAAATAGCATGCTGTAAAAAAGTAAAGCAGGTGAATCGAGTGAGTTGACAGACACAGAAAAAAAGCTTCCATTGTTCTCTGCCTCACTTGACTTATTTTTATACTCTTTGAGTATTTTGACAAAAGACTTGTCAGCGTCAATAAAACAAAAACAATGGCCGTGCAGTGAAAAAGAACACAAGATGGACTGGACTTTTTTTTGGGGGGTTGAAGCGCTGCCTTTCTAAACCCAATCATCTGCATTTCCGCCTTTGAAGAGGCTTCTTTCTTCTTCTCTCTAAGCTTGTTTATCTGCCTTTCATGGTGAACAGGGCAGTCCTATGAAGCGCTGGGATCTATTTCTGTCTTTAATTACATTTTACCTAAACTAAAAATGTTGATGAGTAATTAGTCTGTCCCCAAAGCCTCAGCGAGGTTGAACAGGGCTTCTTCATAAAAGACAACAGTAAATGCATTTTGTACGTGTGTGTCGGCAGCCTGTGAAGAAGTGAATCATACGTTTACTGTGGCAGGGATCATCACTGCAGAGGCAGATTAGCGTTGCTCTGTTGTCAGCTTTGGAGCTGATGACAGCCAATGTAATTATTATACTAATTCAATTTGCATATTTTAACAAATACAAATTAGTTGTCAGAGCCAGTGTGCAAGAGCAGTGGGGCGAATGCAAGAGATGAAAAGGCCAAAACTCTCACCTGCAGACCTCTGTTTAAAGAGGTTTGGCTGTTTTCACATTGTGCAGAGAAAACAATGACTCACTGACAGATATGGCAATTTGTAATAGGATTTATTAAACATATTCTAAAATGAAGCATACCGTAATATCCTGTCAGGCTAAAAATACAGGCCTGACAGTAGTCTGCCTGCTATGTCTTTGATCAACTGAAATAGTTGCATCAAACAAGAAGAGGAAGAAAACATGACAAACATTGTGCTGAATTGTGTGTTATGCACTGAATGTGATGATAGGAGGAAATGATATAATGCAGGCTACATTATTTGCAACCCTGAGTTGCTTTGGGAAGCAAATTAGCAGGATGTTCAGATTCTCAAAAAAAAAAAAACAAATGACTAAAGGCCTCATTTTCAGAGACTGGCAGCAGCATGATACAAGTATTAAAGTGTTTAAAATTAGAATATTAAAAAGGTAAAGACTGGAGTGTAACTGTGTCAGTAGCTGCGTACCTGCACTGCAGTAGAGCCCAGAACATGCCTGTGTTCCTGTTGATGGTGGAAGCCTCTGAGTTTTCCACCAGGAAGTGTCCTTGAGCTGTCCAGAGCACTGTGGGGGGAAGCGAGGTCATTTGGGGGAGAAAAATGTAACCAGTCAGTTAATTGCCCACATGAAGTGAAATATTATCTGTCTGTGTTGGTGTGTAATGCATCTAACCACACAGTCACCCCGGGACATGGGGAAAATTCATCACTAGTGCAATGATTTGAGGCTGCATTTATAAACAGGCACAGATCATTTTTCCTCATTTTTCCAGTAAATGCTCAGCAGAGCTGCTTTCTCAGTATGTTCACGAACATCTGCGTGCAAGCTCAAAGTGCTGCACACTATGTATTTGCAGAAACTACTCCGAAACCCCATTTAAGGGCTAATTTGGGATGTACTGTTTATACAACACATCCCAGTCATGATAATCCCTGTTTGAATGATTAAACACTATTTTGAACACTGTGCTTCAATAGGCTGCAAAATAAAACAGGAACCAAGCTGGAGTATTTATTTGTGCTTTTTATGTGATTCAGTATGTGGGCTAGAACTGAAATGATTAGTTGATGAACCAATATTTGATAATTGACTAATTGTTTATTCTGTTGTCATTCTTCAGGCAAAAATGCCAAATCATTTCCCAATTTCAACTTCTCAAATGTGAGGATTTGATGCCTTTCTTTGTCGTATCTGGTAGTTTTCGTGAATTTGAATGAGCATTTTTCACTATTTTATGGCATTTAATAGACTAAACAATTAATGGGGAAAATAACCAACTAATATTACTATAAATAGAATAACGTCATTAATCTCTCTTGACATTGTAACCCAGGTTTCAGGTCTGCATCGTAAGGAATACGGGGAGAATAACAAAGCTCCTGAACCAAAAGAGAGTTGCCTTAAATTACTGTAATTTGCTCCAATTCATTCCTTTAATGTTTACTAATCACCGCCTCCACTATAATCTGCATGATGATGCAAACATTTCAGAGAGTTACAGTCGTAGCTTGATTATTATTTGAGACCATAATTCAAAAACAAATCTGTTGGAGGAACTTACTGGCTGCTCCTACGCCGATGAGTACAGAGGTCAGGTAGAAGGACCATGTTGAAGGGATGATGAACACGGCGATGTACCCACTAGAGAGAAAGCCCGGGGAACAGCAATCAGCAACTTCTTTGTCAACCTCCTGTATGTAACTACCATGCCGACGTTTACCTGTAAAGTAGGCCACTCAGAAACATGGTAATCTTCGGTCCAATTACTGCAACGACTGCTGGTGCAAGCAAGTTGGCGAACGAAAAGACCCCATAGATGATTCCGAGGCTGTGATTGGGGGGGTGGAAAGAGGATCAGCAATCAAGTTTTACTTTCATCAAATGAACGTCCTGAGTTGAGGACGTGAACCTGCGTGACCTACCTGTGGTACCCACTCCCACTGAAGGTATCATTCCGCAGGCTTTTCACCACAGTTTGCTGGAAATGAGATGAGAGCGCGGGGTTAGACTGGACGAGATGGGGTCATGTGTCCTTAATTCATTCATCCGGTTTGATCAATTCACTGACCATTGAAGAAAATTAGAAACACGAGGTGCGCCAGACGCAGGCTTGTTTCCTCCTGCGCATTAGGCTCGCTTTTTTTGTTTTAGCTTCAAAGTTTTAATAACAAAATTTGTGTACAAAACCAAAAGCATTCGTTGAATGGTTTATTGGGCATATACATAAAGATACTACCTATTCGGGATACATTATACAAAGGGACCTACACTGAAGAAGATTATTTGCCGAAATATAGTTCTAATTCTAACAGTTACACATGTGAGTAAAAGCACAATGGGCACATCTCAACAGTGTTGTGGGATATTAAATATGTTCCAACTCAGCTCAGTGTCTTCTTCAGGCTTTCTGAAAATAAGCTTTTAGAGGCAACAACAAACAAATGTGACTTATAAGAAACTCAGGTTTGGATGTGTAAAAACTCAGTAATAAAGTGGAACTTACTTCAATGTTCCCACAGGTGGTGAAGGCGGTGAAAATGAACAAAAATCCAACACCCAAAATCACTACGTTGAAAGTCCTTCTGTCTGCCATGGTGTTGTATTACTCGTCGTAAAACATTTTAAACTTACTGCTAATGTTGTGCTGTTGACTCATTTGAACTACACGTCTAGCAGAGACTCATCAACAACTCGGTTAAATCCATTTGAACAAAGTCGCGCGACTAAAGTTGACGTTACTAACTGTTTAGTAACAGTGTGATGCAGCGCAGAGTATAGGACAGGAAGCAACAATGCAGCACTGTTATAGGCCACTTCCCTCCTATCATAAGTAGCCTGTTTATGATAGACGCATGACAACTTGTGACTTTAATTTAAGGCAATTTTGGGTTTTTTTGCAGTCTTCCTTGTCCTTCTACGTCCGTGTTTTCCTCACACTCTCTCTCTCTCTCCCCCCCTCCCCTCCTGCTTCTTCTTCTTCTTGTGTAATTTGCGGTCATTTCCACTTATTTCGCTTTGCTGCCTTCCAGAGGTATCCAGGAGGAATATTCATGAAAAGAAAAACAGTCCTTTGACAGTGAAGATGTTATTGTCAGTCCACTTTTACTCATGTAGCCTATTTCTTATTGTGACACCGTTAGTTACTAGTTACTTAGCAGATTCAGATTGATAATACAAAATATGATGAACAAATAATGATGTATTACACATGCATCTAAGACTTTATTGATCCCTTGGTAAAATTCCCAAACTTTTCTGCAGTATATAGTTAGTTCGTTTATTTTTATTTCTGTGTCATGATACATATTTAGCCCATCCCACAGGGGATTACGAGACCATTTTACAAAATGTACATCTTTCAGTAATTCATGTCAGAGCAAAAATACATTTAAAAGTACTACTATATTCTGTGTACTTTTACCAATGATTCCTCCCACGGCTCTTCCTGCTGGATCAGCAAGAACCATGACACCTTTTCTGAAATCCATGTGTTCATCGAAATAGAAAGAAAGTCCATCTTAAGTGAGCCATTGACAAATGAAGTGCTATGTGTAGAAGAAAAAATCCTAAGTGAATTATTTCAGTCTTCTTTTTTTGCAGTAACATCATAATTATTGTATGAGAGCATTTGTTGACGTTTTTCTTCAGATGGTGACAGAAAAAACAGTTGTCATCTGCATAAAAAAGAATACTTAATTTCTCTTACATCTTTCCACAATGTGAAGCTTTAATTTTCAAAGCAAAATTATCAATTATCAATTATCAATTGTAAATAATGTGGGGAACATAGCACCACCTTGTTTCCCCCCTGATGAAGATGAGAACTAGTTGGTGTAATACTAATGTATTTAATCTTACACACGCTATGGGATCATTGTAGAGAGCCTTATAGCGCTAGAATCCTTCCAATACCCCATATTTAATGAGTCTATAGGCTAAAAGATCTATATTGGTCATTTCTAAAAGTCAATGAAACATTCATATGTTGATTTATCTTTGTTTGTTGTAACTGTTGACAATAAAAGACTGACATGACCTGGATTTAGGAAACCAGTGTTGCTCCTCCACAAGAAGGCCTTCCCTCTCAAGATGCAACATGAGCCTCTCATTAAGTAGAATACAGTTAGTAGACTGTGCTCATTAGGCGGACCCCTCTGCATCTAACAGCATCCTTGTGTCCACACCGTGGGTTTTGGTATTGAGCTTATAATTAGGCCACATAGTTTGCATTCTACCAGATTCAAAACATTGAATTATTCACACAAAATACAAAATAATGGGCAATTTTAAATATTGTTTTTTCCAGTTTTGCTCGAGTCATTTGAACTAGTTAGCTAGATCCTTATTCAGTGTCTTAATTACACAATATCCCCCTTTAGTATTTGTCTCTCTATTACAATTTTCGTTAAACATACTTCTTTATGATACCTTTTTATCAAAAGTATCACTGTTTGGGAAAAAAGACCTTTAAAGTGTTTCTCCCATCTATAAATGACCTGAGAAAACCCAAACACAGGATTACCATCGAGCCCCAGCACCTCAATTGGTATTTTCCAAAGTTGCCTCAGAACCAATTTGTTTTTGGGAGGGCCAAAATCTCCAGGGATTTGATGTTTGAATTGTCTTCAAGTTTGCACCTGACCTCTTTAAAAACACCTTTTATAGAATCTGTATCTTCTGTCAAAGCTGGCTGAAGACTTCTAAGAATGTCTTCTTTTCTACATGATTGAACAATTCAGAAACACATTTTCATCTTTACTGTAATAATTCTTTCGATTTCTCATTCCAATATAGTTTGTTGTTAAAAATAAAACGTCCTTTTTGAATAACGGTTGTCTTCTATTTCTTCTTTAATCAAACAGCTACTATAATGTAGATAGTCTCGTTCTTGTAAGTCATTCTTCAATTTTAATGAAGTTGGTTGTTGTAAGCCAGAAGATAAGACGTTAGCTGGTAAAGTCCTGCTGACTTTCTTTTTTGCTAAAATAATTGAGTTATTGTAGTGAGGGGCTACAAAATAATCACCCTTTTATTTGTTTTTTAGCTTTAGTTTCTTTTTTTTACTAGAAATGTTATGATGTGGAACTCTGCATCTTACTCAAATTAGATCCATTCAGGTTGCAAACTTAATGACTTGATTTGAAGCTAATTGCAGAAAGTCTTCCATGTCTGCGATGACCCTGATGAGCTCTGGGACGAGCCACGGCCTCACCTGTGCTGTTTGGAGTCAACGAGACACAGGTGAGCTCAATCTGCCCTGATTCAGTGCACTAATAACAAGGAGGAGAAACCACTGCTCTTGCTCTGCCACCAACCAGACCTGTGCTCCTTTACGCTTGTTAAATCCACCACTTGGCAAAGTTTAAGGGGAAGTTCATGTCAAACGTTGGTGGAATGTTCTGGCTTTCTGTACCTAATTCTGGTGTCATTGCAGCCCTCGCCAATAAGACACCAATACTTCAAAGAAGTCACAGGTCTGAATAGTCAACCAGCTTTACAACTCACAGATATTTATCATTCAGGGGGCATATCCTTCCATATGACTTGAATTATTTTAGAAATTCAATCACTGAGTCTCCATGCTTGTTTACAAAATCATCCAAAGAGGCTCTGGAGGGAACCTGGTGCACTTTTTATTAAATACTCGTGAAAAACGTCTATCCTGCTATTAAAATCTCCACAAAAATGAATTGCCTCACCTCGTGAACATAAAAATAAGCCTCCTTTCTCCATACTGTCTAGGGTAAATATAGTAAAAAAAACAAATAAGCCTCACCTTATCAGCTAAGTAATATAAATATTAAAGGTGAAGTCAATGATTCTGTCCCCCGAACAATATATATTATAATTACCGCCTTGAAATAGGCTAATTAAATATACATTATTTTGAAATGGGTCATTCTGTTTAGGGACGACTTTTACTTTTGGTACCTTAAGTATATTTAATGCATTTTCACTCTTTTGAGTATTTCTACAGTGTTACTGCTAGAAGATCTGACTACTTCTTCCACCACTGGTTACTGTGTTCATTGCACAGTGTGTAATGTTCAGAAACATTATTTCTAAAGCACTCCTACACAAAATTATTCACAATTAATAAAACCAAAGTCAATGATGTCAATTTCAGTGTGTTTTTATTATATCAATTTCAGTCTCGGTTGTGTCAAAGCTTGTCATAGTTGGAGATCTTTCATAGATTCCAATAGTTGGCGATAATGCATAATTTGAAACCCCAAACGTCATACAATATGAAGGAAGAAGAAAAACAGTATCCAATAGCCATTGAGTGGAGTGCCACCTCTCGTTGTCTGCGTTTGCTGCCACAAAAACAAAGACGCTTAGCAAAGCAAGAGGGCTCACTCTCTGTCACTTCCGTGTTGGTAAAAACATCCCGCAGGCCTTTGTGGCTACATAACGCAGCGACATTCTTTGTTGTACAATAAGTTTAATTGATTAAATAACACTAGCTCAAGACAGTATTTGACATCGAACCGCTTTTGTCTAAATACAACTTTATTTGTAGTTATTTTCGAAGGCGCATGCGCACTTTCATTATACATTCCTGCCAACCGGCTAACCCAAACTACAAAACGTTTAAACGTTGCAACCGTTAATATAGCTATACTTGTTATGGCATTTAAAAAATGTATTGCTCTTTCTTCGATTTGACAAGCTGTCACACAAATGTTACACGTAAATGTTCGCTTTAACTCAACTTTTGTTGTCGTCGACTTTTGCTCTCTGAATATCAGATATCCTCCTGCTCTCTGTACTCTTTGGCTCAACGTACAACAGATTGTACACAATCATCATGGCGACCCAGGCTGGTGGGTATTGAGAAAATACAGCAGTATTTCCTTCATATCTTTACATTGAGTCGAAACATTGTTTATGGATTAACATATGTTAGTAATTGGCATGATAATATACGTCGCTGTTAATGCAGTGTAGTGTAAATGTACGTCTCTCCATAACGTTATTCTTTAAATGTTCTCCAGTGCTGTAGCTAGCTAACGTTAACGATTGCTAACAGCAGTCAAATGTAGCTAGATTTGAGGAGGACTAAAGTTAACGTTAGAAGATTTAACCTGTGTTAGCTTTGGCTCACTTTTGCTTTCAAGAAGCTAACTAAACATGGTTGGGTCAAGAATGGTAACGACGAAGTACCAACAAACAGTTTGTTACGTTAACGTCACCAGTGTAGTGACCAGTAAGGCCAGCCGTGTTACAAGATCTGGGTTTCCGTTAATAACCATTAACGTTACGTGTGTTCGGTCACGGACAAAGTCTCTGGAGGTTTTATTTGTCCTGTCACAGAACACTCAAGTTAGAATCGCTGCCTAGATAGGGAAGAAAAACAGCGATGGAAATAGCTAGAAAAACTACGAGAGAGAGAGAGAGAGAAGAAAAAGCGAAACTAGATTTCGATACCACCTTAAAACTGTTTACTTTCGGTTACATTTACACACTATAGCTCCTTATTATGTGGAAGAATTAGGACATGGTTATGAAACATATACATAGATTATTTTACTTTAAAAGAGAACCATGAGAACTGTAAATAAACTACTTATTAATAACAAACCACTGTTTTTTAAATTAAAGGCTCTAAAGTTAAGAGGCTTGGTAGATTTTTAAATGGTACACATCACGTGTAAAGTCAAATAAATGTGATATATTGAAAATAAATTTAGAGGAGGACAGTATGACTTGAAGGGAATGTGATTGAAAACAAAAGGAGAGCTGGTTTTCCACCAAGATTTACTTTTGTTGGTGAGCCATCCAGGTTCAGACACATTACTCCTGGTCCATTAAGTATTTGTTCGTTAGCTACACTCATTAAATACATGGCCTTTAATGTGTCATCATTCATTTTAATTCAGTCTCAAAAACTAAAATGAAACTTGACTTCATTAAGATTCAGTGTTTTGTAGACTGCATGTACTACACACTGTTTAAATGTAGAAAGACACACAAGCATGTTGAGTACCTCAGATGTGTATTTCTGAATATTTGCGCTGAATAGATCCCAAATCAATGTGTTCCTACTCTTCCAGGAAGTGAAGAAGTCATAATGGAAACCGAGGCGAAGCCAGGAGAAGCTGAACAACTAGGCGAGGAAGCTGAAAAAGGCGAGGAAGCTGAAAAAGGTGACACAGAAACTCCGTCTCACACAGATGCAGTAGACGCCACAACTCAGGACTCTAGTATTAGCAACGGGGACGACGGGGACGACGAGCAGGAGAAGGTGGACTTGAAGATCATCTGGAACAAGAACAAATACGATCTGAAGATTCCTGTCGATAACACCGGAGCCCAACTCAAAGAGAGGATCCACTCACTCACTGGTAGGAACACGCAGTCGCTCCCCTTCAGGTAGACGTTACAGTGACTGTTTACAGTGATTCTAATGCTCTCTTGTGTCTTCCCAGGTCTTCCACCTGCAATGCAGAAAGTGATGTACAAAGGATTGCTTCCAGAGGACAAAACGCTACGTGAAATAAAGATTACAAACGGTGCGAAAATCATGGTGGTAGGATCTACAATAAATGATGTATTAGCTGTGAATACACCCAAAGAGGTCGTCCAGCAGGAAGTGAAAGCTGAAGAAAACAAGAAGGAGCCTTTATGCAGGCAAAAGGTAAGAGCAATGGCCGCTCTGCAGGATAGAGTCCAATATTGATGGAGTTCTGTGTTATTCACCCGGCACTGTTATTTCAGCAACACAGAAAGGTTTTGGACAAAGGTAAACCTGATGACATCATGGCATCTGTTAAAGGAACAAAGGTGAGAGAAGACGAAGGGAGGAGGGCGCTCCCTGCTTCTGTTTGTCGTGTGTTGTATGATTTCACTACTGGACACAAAGACTAACTGTGTTTCTCTAACAGGAACGATTACCAACAGTGCCTTTATCTGGAATGTTCAACAAGTCCGGAGGAAAAGTTCGACTCACATTCAAACTGGAGCAGGATCAGTTGTGGATCGGAACAAAGGGTGAGATCACAGATAGCCTCGTTCCTGCTAAATTCACTTCATACACGAAGATACTAACGACTCAAACTCCTTTGATTGTGTGTGTTCCTCTCTACAGAGAGAACGGAGAAAGTCCCGATGGGTTCCATTAAAAACGTAGCGACTGAACCCATCGAAGGCCATGAGGACTACTACATGATGGTGAGAGGGCTCGCTGCTGCCGACATGTTGTGGGCGGGGCTTACGTGCCTGTATTTTATTGTTCTTTATTAACATTTAAATGCATAACAAAGACACAAAAAAGACAGTTTGCCTTTCTAAAACAGTTAAAGACAACATTTGTTCTACGTAGCGATAGTGAGGATCTGGAAAACCGGGAAGGCAAGACAGGAAGTCGAGCTGAGAATTCCCGCCTGTCTTGATTGTCTCCACATTGTTTTGAAGAAATAGACCCTTTCCGGTGAGACCAGTTTATGAATTGACTCTGCGGTGCACCGCTTCCTCTGTTTAAAGTCAATCCAGCTCACTCTCTATTTGTTTGACATTGTATTTTTCACCATGAGCACCAGTCGGAGGACGCGTGCTTCACACTTTGTGTGGATGAGCTCGTCACCGCTCAGTCTGACAGCCGTAGTGTTAGAGCAAGGAGGACGATCTGTTGGCGGCTTAATGGACATAAAAGCTCAAAAACACTCGCCAGCAACGCTCAGCGTCCGCCTGGCCAGTCTGCTCCCACAAATGGGCTTTTCTTCTTTGTTACATAAGTGTTTGTCTGACATATGAAGCTCAGGAGAGACGACGAGCTTCTCCTCCATTTTCTGAAATGACGCTTTTCTGAAAAGTTCAGAGATTTTCAACTAGAAGCACTTCACAAAGAAAAGGCAGAGACGCTGCTGAATACTCTCTAATAGACGCTATATGGACACAGGCCCTAAAGATGTCAGTGTTTTAAATTAACGGATGTATTGTTCTACACAATGCACAGCAAGAAATAACCCTGATAGATGCAGTAGTGTACTATATATCATTTATATATCATAAAGGCAGAGTTTTAACTTCCTGGCTCCGCGCCCGCTCACCGGGCGTCTGTTTTTATGAAACGCTGTGATGCCAAATGCTCCGCGACGGACGCGAATGTAGAGTCACTGTAGCGTGTGAGTGTCGGAGTGATGGAGGTCACCGCAGCGGAGCGGGAAATGTCAGCGCTTTCTCTAGATTAACCTTTCTGTCTGAAGGCACTTGTGTTCTTTCTTTGTCAGAAAACAAAATGGAAATCCCAGAACTAGTGACTTAATTGAATCGAGTCGTCTGCTGCAGATCCAGATGTCAACAAACAGAGCGTCCTCGCGGCGCCGATACACAGAATATCTGCATTCTAGGAGAACGTGGTGAAGCTCGGTGGATGATTCTGTCAGCTGAACAGCTGATGCGTTTTTAGACCTCGATGTTTTGATTTATGGGAAGTAAACAAGAAAAGTGATGTGATACATTTAAAAGCAGAACAAACTGACAGCAACATGCAGTGAATTTCATGGCAGTCGGCCACAAGTGGATTTAAGCAATAATGCCGATTATGAACGTCTAAACCGCTGTACGAGGGGAATTCTGAGGTCGTTTCCAGATTTCGTTGCTTCCTGTTTGTCGAGGTTTACTGTGTATCAGACCGTGTGTGAGCCAATGAAATGCGTGGGAGTTTATTCCCGTACAGTTGAGCTGTCTTCCATGATATGGATCACAGTACGAACACTGGAATCATCTTCAGAGTGCAGCGTTTTTGGCACAAGAATGAAATCTGATGCCAGCTGCTCGCTCAGAGCGTGTTCCTGCATCACTGAGGAGCTGATGATGTATGAAGAGGAGACGAGGGGTTTAAAATGCCATCATTTAAATGAGTGATCCTCCCCGTTTAACTCCTGCGCTTAAAAAGGAGGAGGTACGGAGTAATCCATTCATTTCTTATTGATTTCCTTTGGTGTGATTCAGTGGGCTGTAATGTACTGAGAGGCAGTATGTTAAACACAGCATTCAGGTCTTTGAATGTTGATTTATTAGAAGCATTATGCTTCAATTATATTATTTAGATATTTAAATCTTATTTAATATGTACGGATGCCGTTTTGATTTGCATCTTAACGCGTTTGTTTGTATTAAGTTTAGTTTGTGGAATATGTGAACATTTGTAAATTAATTTAACATGCTTACCATTTTTTTCACCTCTGTAGGCTTTTCAGTTGGGTCCAACAGAAGCGTCTCAATATTGGGTCTACTGGGTGCCCACGCAGTTTGTCGATGCAATCAAAGACACAGTCCTTGGAAAATGGCAGTATTTCTAATGTGCCTCTTTTTGTGAACTGGGCTCGAGAGGAGGAGCCAATGAGAAATGAAACTGGAGTCAACAGTACGGCTGAAGGAACTTCTTGGAATACATTCAAAGGAACCGGACGGATGCCTGTGGACTAATCATATTGTTTTTAGGTTAAAAGTGCACTATGCGGCAGCGTAACAATTCTCAGCCCTGATGATTATTCAAAGTTTTCAGCAAATCCAAGGGAAAATGATGAAACAATTGTACAGAAATTGCTAACACTTTTCTTCAGTTATTCTTAAAGAAATAAAACTTATTTAATGAAATACATTTGTGTTTTATTCACTTTGTTAGGAACCAAAATGTTGCACATTTGACAACGCAGGCCTTCCCAGTTGGTTTGAAAAATGACTCAAACTGTCATCTACAGTGGGTACGGAAAGTATTCAGACCCCTTTAAATTTTTAACTCTGCTTCATTGCAGCCATTTGCTAAAATCAAAAAAGTTCATTTTATTTCTCATTAATGTACACTCGGCACCCCATCTTGACAGAAAAAAACAAATGTAGAAATTTTTGCAAATTTATTAAAAAAGAAAAACTGAAATATCACATGGTCATAAGTATTCAGACCCTTTGCTCAGTATTGAGTAGAAGCACCCTTTTGAGCTAGTACAGCCATGAGTCTTCTTGGGAATGATGCAACAACCTTTTCACACCTGGATTTGGGGATCCTCTGCCATTCTTCCTTGCAGATCCTCTCCAGTTCCGTCAGGTTGGATGGTGAACGTTGGTGGACAGCCATTTTCAGGTCTCTCCAGAGATGCTCAATTGGGTTTAGGTCAGGGCTCTGGCTGGGCCAGTCAAGAATGGTCACAGAGTTGTTCCGAAGCCACTCCTTTGTTATTTTAGCTGTGTGCTTAGGGTCATTGTCTTGTTGGAAGGTGAACCTTCGGCCCAGTCTGAGGTCCAGAGCACTCTGGAAGAGGTTTTCTTCCAGGATATCTCTGTACTTGGCCACATTCATCTTTCCTTCAATTGCAACCAGTCGTCCTGTCCCTGCAGCTGAAAAACACCCCCATAGCATGATGCTGCCACCACCATGTTTCACTGTTGGGATTGTATTGGGCAGGTGATGAGCAGTGCCTGGTTTTCTCCACACATACCGCTTAGAATTAACGCCAAAAAGTTCAATCTTGGTCTCATCAGACCAGAGCATCTTATTTCTCATAGTCTGTGCGGGCTATGCGGGCTTTCATATGTCTTGCACTGAGGAGAGGCTTCCGTCGGGCCACTCTGCCATAAAGCCCCGACTGGTGGAGGGCTGCAGTGATAGTTGACTTTGTGGAACTTTCTCCCATCTCCCTACTGCATCTCTGGAGCTCAGCCACAGTGATCTTTGGGTTCTTCTTTACCTCTCTCACCAAGGCTCTTCTTCCACGATTGCTCAGTTTGGCTGGACGGCCAGGTCTAGGAAGAGTTCTGGTCGTCCCAAACTTCTTCCATTTAAGGATTATGGAGGCCACTGTGCTCTTAGGAACCTTGAGTGCTGCAGAAATTCTTTTGTAACCTTGGCCAGATCGGTGCCTTGCCACAATTCTGTCTCTGAGCTCCTTGGGCAGTTCCTTCGACCTCATGATTCTCATTTGCTCTGACATGCACTGTGAGCTGTAAGGTCTTATATAGACAGGTGTGTGCCTTTCCTAATCAAGTCCAATCAGTTTAATTAAACACAGCTGGACTCCAATGAAGGAGTAGAACCATCTCAAGGAGGATCAGAAGAAATGGACAGCATGTGAGTTAAATATGAGTGTCACAGCAAAGGGTCTGAATACTTATGACCATGTGATATTTCAGTTTTTCTTTTTTAATAAATTTGCAAAAATTTCTACATTTCTGTTTTTTTCTGTCAAGATGGGGTGCTGAGTGTACATTAATGAGAAATAAAATGAACTTTTTTGATTTTAGCAAATGGCTGCAATGAAACAAAGAGTGAAAAATTTAAAGGGGTCTGAATACTTTCCGTACCCACTGTAGTTTGACGAGGGTCTACGGGTGAACAGCAACAGGTCTTGACATTAATTGTGGATCAGATTTAGGTCTGGATTTGGCCCCCCGAGCACTTTAACATTGGCTTTAAAACATTACATTACATTATAGTCATTTAGCAGACGCTTTTATCCAAAGCGACTTACAATTCAGATCCTATCACAGCTACGGGAGCAATTTTGGGGTTGAGTGTCTTGCTCAAGGACACATTGACATGCAACTAGCGGAGCCTGGGATCGAACCACCGATCCTCTGATTGAAGGACGGCCCTGCTCTCCACTTAGCCACAGTCGCCCAAAAAAGGCTGTCTTTCTGAAAAATGTATCGCCCAAGTAGCGCTTCCTTTGCCGACTGCAGCATATTTTCCTGTAGAGTTTCTCTGCATTTTACTGCATTTCCAGTTGTGCTGTGTGATTCCTGGTGTTTGGCTTAAATATGAAATGCAGCTTGTAGTAAGATGATCAAAACACTTGGTCTCAGGCCTTAACGCTGTGTTTCCATGTACCTCACATGAAGGGTTTATTCAGCAGAACACCTGAACTGAGGAAAGTATAATGGCTTTATAAAAAAAAAATTCTAATGAGTAGCACAACTCTCCTTTTCAGTTAATTGTTAAGTACTGTTTACAGCAGTATTCATCAAAGTGAAAGGACATTTCCTACCACTATTTCAACATTAGTCAAACTTATAATTTGCCGGTCACAGCACTATTGAGGCTGAATTTGCTGAGACTGATGGTGAATAACAACACAGTTGAAAGTGTTCCTATTTCTCTAAACACGTGGAGTTACACCAGAAAACCTTTGAGCTCATACCCATTCTAATAGAAATAAATGCATTAAAGTCAAAATACAACATTAAGTCAAAATGTAAAGCCATGGGTTGCAACTTGCACGTCATGTAGTTGAATAATGACCAGAAAGATCAGAACTGTTGGAGGTTATAAACTTATCTATAAGCCCGACCTTTCGACAGTAAAACCGTTAAAATCTATTCTCAAAAAGGATTTGTACACTGTTGACATAAGACGCCTTTACTCTGAAGGACTCCAGACCGGAAATCTAAGTTGTTGCTTCCGGAAAACGTGCCCTCAACTTCCGGTACAACGCTCAGTGGCGGGACCGCGGGTTAATGCAAACTTTTTCAAGCCACCGTCCAGCGGTGAGTGATGTACAAACCGGCGGAAACAACCGCGGAGAGGAAACGCCCACCGCCGGTGAAAGTGTTGTCCGGACAGCTGAGGACGGCGGAGAACCGGGGGACCGCGGACGGCGGGGACGGCTGTCTCATCAGGCGGGGCGGGGGTCGCTCTCTGCTGGTCTCACTGGTGTGGATGCAGGGGACCGTGCTGGAGGTCCAGTCGGAGAGGAACACCGTGATGCTGATGGACGAGACGGGGACCTTCGCTGTGCAAGGCGTCGACAACATCCCGAGAGGGAAGCCGTGTTTGGCCCAAGGTGAAGTCAATAAGCCATATGAAGACTGTTTTAGATTTAATGTTTTAAAGGTGGTATATATATTTATTTCACTTAATAAATACTTTTATACATAAATCATACATTTAAACAGCTACAGGGGCCCAGGCCACTGTATGTCAGAATCTGTGTTCTGGTAATTAGTACAGTATAGTTTAGTAGTTGGTATTAATTATTGATTAATCAAAAAAAACAGCAAATCCTCACAAATAAGAATATGACAATATTTAACTCTTTTGTCATGACTTAAACTGTTAATTGATTATCACAGTAGTTTATTTTTCTGTTAATCGACTAATCGTATATTTTCGTGTAGAGGACCTGTGTCATAAACATAGGATGTCAATAGCTTAAACAGCCATGATGTCTTAATTCTATCTGTGAAAACAGCTAAAAGGACAACTTCACTTCTCTGCTTTCCCTTTGTTCAGCCCACCTAAAACATGTTAATGGGTCTAGATACAAATACGTAAATAAAAGCTGTCCTTGTATACAGTTATGTATCCAATTTATTTCCAAAACCTTTGTTTGAGGAAATAAGTTATTTTTTAAATTCTCCATTCAGATCACATTGGACCTAGATCTGGATTTCTCTGAACTAATCGTCAACTTATTTTTTTTGTCTGCAGCCTTTTAATATATCTAGTAACTGTACATTTTAAATTACACCACCAGTCAAGAAATATTTCTAGTTTTGTAGGAGCAGCAAAATTTATATTTTAGAAGGAAAGAATATTAACACCATTTAAATATCCTTTAATATTACTAAGCCAGGAAGCTGTTAGTAAAGTCTGTTATGGCTTTAACACTGCAACTTCACAAGCTCAGAATATGAATGAAGCATTCCTCTCATTTAACATATGAATCTTGTTTTACTCATGACAAACCACTGCTAATTATGCGTAGTGTGTGTACTAAAAGTGTTCACTCAATCCATTTGACTCCTGCTTTGTTTAAATGAGCCACATCTGAGAATGGTGTGCTTGTTTCCCTTTTAACTATTGCTGTTTTTGCAGGCAAATATGTCATGGTGATGGGCGTCATCGTGGCCGCCTCCCCGGAGCCGGTGATCCGTGCCGTGAAGATGGCCAACCTCTCGGAGCTCGCCGGGCTGCACAGAAGGATGTGGAAGCTGGAGGTGGAGGAGCTGCAGCGGGTGCTGGCCTGAAAGCAGAACCACCTGCAGCTCTCATGCAGCATGGAAGTGATGCTCCACTAAAGACCGAACGCTGGATTCCACTTGATGCAACAGTGACAAAGACATGAGAAAACACTTGTTTTTGTGCGTTCTGTGGCTCCTCCTCCAGAGACGTCACAGTAAGATGTCTGTAAAAATATTAAATAAAAGGTGATTCCTACTTTTCTCTACTGAAAACTGAATTTAGATATTTATACATACTGAACCAGGATTCACAAAGATTACGATTGTTAAAAAACAAGGACGTAATAAAATCCATCTTGAGTTCTGCAAAAATAATCTGCCTGTGACATAATGATGGAATGTACAATTTTGAGGTACTTGTACTCTACTGGAGTATTTTCAGAGAACACTCTTTAGCTGCTGGCCGTCATGTGGAGAGCCATGTGGAGGCAATCCCTCAATCAGAATTTTTAATTTAGCATTATAAGGTTTTCAATACCCGACTCTTACTTGAAATGGAATATGTCTACAGTGCGTTATTATGATTTCGTGGAACATCTGAACACTTCTTCCCACCAGTGGATCCACGTGTGACGAATAAAACACGCAGCAGTTAAAACGGTTTATAAAAAGAAGCTTTATTTGGAGTGGTGTCCATTACACTGGTATATTAATAGATAAATGGAAATGACCTATGAAGGATTAAAATAAGAGAATGTCAACTGAACTCTCAATTTAAGTATCCCATACATGAACTGTAAAGGTCGTTAACACAAACGGTTTGGGAAAAGAAATTACTTTAAGGTCAACATTTATCTGAACACGCCTCTGATGGAGGTTTACACGTGCCGCTCTCAGCCCCGTCTAGCAGACGCTCTGCTGAATGGCACATAGCAAAGCTCCGGGTGTCTTCCACTCAGTGTTTGCTGTTAACGATAACACTACTGTCGTCCAGATCAGAGTAAACCAGCCACCAGTCAGAGCGCCGGTCCTGAGCGGCCTCTTTAAAATCATGCTGCGATCAGGCTGTTTCCTCGAGGCCCTCAGGGATCACCTGACTCCACTGTTTGAATACTGCATTAGCTGCAAGTGAGCATGAATATCGTCATCGCACCATTAAATAATGTCTTTAAGCAGAAAACTGTATTTCCCAAAGTCATTGTCATTCGGTGCTATAAGATGGTCTTTTCTGGCTTTGGCTAGTTTCATCAAAAGGAACTCCCGGCGCTCCATCCACTCCTTCAGTTCCTGCTCCCCGTGAGCCAGCTTACACAACTCGTCCTCTGTGCACGTGCTTTTGAGGAACCTACGAGAACACACGGTCAAAAAGGTCAAACATCACAATCCACTGGAGTCCGACGGGGTGAGCAGAGAGACGGGGTGAGCAGAGACGTCCGGCGGTCATCTTACCTCTCACAAACTTTGAAAGTGCCCGTGGGAAACCGATACTGCCAGCAGTTCTGATCGTCCTCAGAGTTGAAGACTCTGTCTTTGTGTTTCTCTGACGTGATGTGCTGCTGCCACTGCTTCTCACTGTTGCAGTTTTTACCACACAGCCAACAGTGATTACCGGCCTGTGAAAACACACACGGAGCGGTTTCATTTACACGAATGACTGATTGCCGCCTGTTTAATCATTTCAAGTTAATCACTTGGTACATAACTACATTCTATCAAATGTTAAAACAATTTAACCATTAGACACAATCATTTAGTCAGAGTCTGTTGGTGCAGTCAAAATATTTATCTACAGAAAGAAAGCAAAACTTGGCAGCTACTGAGGATGTTTTCATAACCGACAGCGTAACAGTCAAAGATCCTCAAGATATGCTGTATAATCTAGAGCAATTATTCGACTAACTGCTCAATTTGGTTTTAGATTTTATTCAGTTTTTTATTTTTGCTGAATGGCTTATTCCTGAAAAATGTATGACCACATCTCTTGTGAACACAGAATTTAAGGTCCAGATGAAATAAATAAATGCATTTTCATCCCATTTAGATCACACATCCGGTTATATTGTGCACCCATCTAACAATACATCCAAAAATGTCTGTCTTTTATATCAAAATATGACATTTGGTACCAACCAATAATATCACAACATCAATCAATCAAACAAACTTTTAGCGATACGGGGGGTGTGTGTGTGTGGCGCGCTACATTCTAAGCCCGCCCACTTTTAGCGGTCCAATAAAATGTGACGCGTTTGATTTAAATCCCTCTTGAAACTGAACATCGCTCAAATATTGCGGTTCAGTGGGGAACACACAGTACAGAAGCTAAAGACGCTCTAACTTCTGTTTCACAGATCTGTCGATTAAATGAACCGACTGGTCGGTTGACACAATAGTGTGTGTTAATGTCCTGCCTTATAATAATTAAATACCACCGAGTGCGTTTTGAACTCACCACTTCCTCAGCGTAGTCTGTCGGCATGTGGATTTGTTTGCCGTTCTCCCTCACAGAGTTAGTGGAGGTCTCGTCCCCCCAGCCAGGCTTCTGAGACTGGAGCCACTGCTCATACAGCTGATCCATGTCTGGAACTAAACGAGGGCAAATCAAACGATTACGCTTGTGCATCACACACTGATTACACTCTACCACGCAAGAGAGAACTCACTGTTGTTCTCCTTCATGTAGGTCCACAGGTCTCGTTCTTCTAGACTGTGAGCAAACGTGCAATTCCCAATGTACTGACACTTCTTGCCAGCTGTCACATGCATGCAAATCTAAGAATGGGGGGAAAAATAATATTTGCTGACCACTGCAGTTTTAAGCAGAGACACAAAGAACGACCTCGGAGTAGTAAAATGTTCGGCACGTACCTCAAATTGAGATGGGATGGGTTTTTTGGTTGGAAGCGGTCTGACTGTTGTCCACTTTTTCCTTTCATGGGAACTTACGAGCACCACCCGCCGGTCTTTAGCCCACCTGAGACAGAAGCTGAGTCGCTCATCCATTCACCTCCGGGTCCTCAATTAATGTGCGTTCAAGACTTTGTAGTACTCACGTGTGTCTCGCCTTGGCTGAGCAATACTTCTTGTTTTTGTCAGCTTCGCTGAGTTGGCCATTTCTCCAGCACTGGCCACAAACAAACATCATCTTCAGATTGGGAGGCCCAAACCTCCTCTGTGTGTTGGACAGCTGCTGATGGAATTCAAAGGACTGGTTAAAATGGCTCCGATTAACACAAAGCACCTAAAATCTTTAGCCAAAAAACACACGCCAATCGAGTTTCAACCCACAGCGTGAATCAAGTCCAAGGAAATGATGGTTACATTTCTACAGTCGCATGAAAAAACACCACAGACAAATGTTTAGTGGAGAAAGTTGGGCTTACCTGGGCTCCCTGCAACGACGCTGTTGAATTCCAAAACTTCTTTGCCTCTTGGACAATGCTTTCATGAGTGATACCTATGTGATGCAAAAGAAGAAAAAATAAATATCGGGTAAATAATTTTATTATATTAAAGTGTTGCTAAAGGTGTACCACACCGTGCAGCCCTCGTTAAAGTATTTTAAAAAGCCTCACCGAGCTCGTGCTGCATCATCCAGACCTTCAGCTCGATGAGGCTGTGGGCGTAGAAGCAGTCGTCCTCTCTCACGCAGCCGTAGCGCACTTCATGCCGACAAAGATCCAGCTGGCAGTGAGGACTCAAGGGTCGGACTTTGGAATAACGAACCGTGTTCTCCTTCAAAATGTGGACCAGGCACCTACGAGACAAACAATGTCCACAAGCTTATAATCCTGCTCTCATTCCCTCACATGCTTTCAGATAACTATGAATGAATCAACTAAACGGTGGCTTCGGAGCTGTAAAATGCGAGCCGACGTACTTATGATCCTCAAAGTCGTGCTTCGTCACCGGATGAGAGCAGAGTGAGAGGTCGTCTTTGTTGGTTTTGCTGATTATTCGCGGTTTGTGGTCAAAGCACACCTGCAAAAAAAGAACATGCATTTGTAAAATTACAATCTGTAAAAACACGCCGATATCGCTGCCATCTCTCTGGATGGATAACCTGGAGTCTTCACACAGTGAAATGCCATCAAACATCAGTCTAAAAGTCCTTAACAACTGATCCAAGTAGCCCAGCTACTGATGAGCATCACACCAACGGGAAGCACAGCATTACAATCATCACGTTAACATTTTGTATTTAATGGAAAAGTTAAATCAGAGCTTATAAATATAAGAAACATCCGAGGAGTTTTCTCCCAGCATGCACTGCACTACCTGTATTACTAACTCTGAGTACCAGTTTTCAAACATGAAATGAAACACTCACTCCACAGAGAAACATGAATATCCCATGATGCTCCTGTAAGATCTTGGGGACAGTCAGCCGGATGTTGGAGTTGGGTCCATAGGGATCGAAGAGCAGCTCTCTGGAGATGAAACCTTTCCGCTCCAGAGTCCAAACATCAATCTCTTCCTGGCAGTATGCAAATGTGCAGTGGCCCGGGTACAGGCACTCTTTCCCAACAGCCACCTCTGAAACAACACAGCTGACATGTTAGTGCCGGCTGCCATCAACACGTGACTCGTGTGGCCAACGGCAGCAACAAAGTGACAGCAGCTGCTACAAACGCTCAGTGAACAAAGTGAATATGTATTTCTAATAAATACGAGTCGGATGAGACAGACGTGCCCAAGTAATGGTGAAAACGTTACCACGCCTAGGGAACTGACACTTTCATTATCAATCTGTAGAACAAAATAATACACTTATGATCATTGTTCCTCTGGGAAAAGAACCAGTTGGATTTGTAGGCAAAGAAAAGACAGAAAATGTTTTTAAATGGTTTAATGAAGGCAAGTGGATCCGCTTTGCAGGACTGTACAGGTTAATAAACGTTACCTTTACAAATGTAATAAGGTCCAACATATTGGGTTTTTGTCGGTCTTGGTCGGATGAGCTTCCACGTTTTGTCTGGCGAGTGTTTGATTCTGCCGAGTAAAGCGTCCTTTTTGCATTTGTGCTCTTCTGTATGAAGCGTGTAGTCTAACACTCCGGGCCCTGTGGGGCCAAAATAAAGAGACATGTTACACCAAACAGTGCTTCCCTTTCCTTAAAACACACACTAGAAACTACTCCTCACCAGTTTTGACGTAGCAGCTTGAACACGCCTGTTTGAACTCATGAGTGTCAGCTAACGGGTTCTTTGCTAACTCCACAGCAGCAGGGAGACCCTTCACCTCAGGCATTCCCACAGCCATCCCCATCGGGCTGTCATTATTGTTCAGCTGCTCAAAAAAACAAATGTGAAATGAGACCCAATAGAAGCTCGCAACAACGCCTGGACCAACAATGACTAATAGTTAATGAACAAAGATTACCTGTGGAATGAATGGACTCTGAGCATAATCTGAAAGTTTCACAGACGAGAGAAATTAAAGAAGCAGGTTAGGTATTTTTCAGCTGATATTTGTACATATTGATAGACCGGGTAACAAAGCAGCAGACCTGTTTTATAGTCGGTAATGTTGAGACTATCCAGGGAGTCCAGTTGTGGGGGGAGGGCATCAAAAGTGTCCATGCCAAAATAGGTACTTGACCCCGACTTGTGATAGAGCGGGGGCAGGGTGACGGTGCACTGCTGGGTGCTGCTGTGGAGGAACGGGTTGATGTGCGATGGCATCAGGAATGGACTCGACATGGAGCTGCCCGAGGCAATACTGGTTGGCAGAGGAAGAGGCCCCTTCATTGTGGGAATAACCTGAAGGAGAAGAGACCAAACAAAAAGTCAACACTCGTGCTCAGACGCCGACGCACCGAGAGCCCGCGGTCCCATCCGCTCACTGACCATGGCTGATTCTGGGCCGGCTTGGTCCAGGAGATCGTCGAGGTCGTCCCCGATGATGTCTGCGTCGAAATCTTGACTGGTTTCGAGCATCGAGCAAGGCTTACTGGTTCTGCACCCGTTGACGAACGAGGAAACGGGAAGAGGGACCGAATTGGACACGGGCAGGGACACGGACTCGAAGCCCGGCGGCTCGGACAGGGTGACGGATGACATGATGTTGTTGGGAGGAAGTTCATCCGCTAGTGCTTCATTTAGAGGCGGCAGCACCGCCGGCGGAGCTTGGATTGGCGCCAAAACACTGCTTTCCTGGGTCAGCCGAGGCACTTCTAAACACGTCAGGGGAGAACGGGGGGGGGTGGACTTTCATCCTTTCTCCGTTTAAGTAACAAATCAAAGCTTCAATACAATACTTACCAATTTCTATATCTTCAACTGAAGCCGAGCCATGGGAAAACTGAAGGAAAGAACAGAAGACAATCCTTGAACAACGTGTTACTAGGCAGAGTAAGCAGATATGTTTTAGATCGTTGTGCTGCGTACCTTCTCACATGATGCATCTTGATAACTTGACGCTCGCAAAACATTCAAGGCGGGCTGTTAAAACGGAGATTAGTTCAATTATGGCTCCATGCATGCGCAAAAAAAGTGCCTACATTTTTTGAAAGCCATGAATTCAAATGAAATGAGTGAGATTCACATCGTTGACATTAACCAGAACATGTAGAAAGAGGAAACGGCGGGACTTCATGACACGAGCCTTCAGTGTCTCGTTGGTTTGAGATAGTTCAGACACACATACCTTACTCCTTACATAAGCTTTACGGATTTTCAATCCCAATATTTTGGCAAGGTCCTGAGTCAGGTCTGTGACACTAGAATCCTGAGGAGACAATGCAAATAACGTTTATTCAAAGCACACTCACGGCAATCACTGCCACACCCGACACACTGTATTGAAATGTTTTCATCCTCATCTACAGGGATTTGCACGCATGTAGTTTTGCATCAAGCCTGATCCATTAAAAAAGTCTTAGACTAAATGTGGCTGCTAATCAAACATAAGTTGGACGTACATCAGTGTTCCCTGAAATGTCTTCATTCAAACTAAAGGTAGCGCGCCAACAGAAACGGACGGAGTTTCAATTTGTTTATTTATTTTCTTGTGTCACATTTGCAGAGACGAAGGAGTGAATCTCCTGCACATTTGGATAAATCAACACAATACACGCAGGCGTTGCTCCTCACCTGAGGCACTGCTAGAGAGCATTTGGCAACGGCCTCGTAGGCCTCTTGATGTCTCCCCATCTCCTTCAGGGACTTTGCTTTCCTGTACAGCGCTTTGTAGTTCCCCTCGTTCAGATGGAGAGCCTTTTCACAGTCTTCTAGTGCCTGGTCGTACAGTCCCTGAGAGAGAGAGAGAGGACACCTCCCACAGTTACAACAGCTGTACTCAACCACTGTGCTGCAACACAGAACAGAGGAGCCGCTGTTTGTTTAGGAATTGACTTCACGTGTTGGGTAAGTGGAGTCGGGTGGGGGTGTGGTTTCCCTGAAGACGGCTGAGTGTTTTTTACTGCTGTGGAACGAGATTTAATGCAGAATCACACCGACAGGAGAGAAGACCCCGATGTTCCTCTGAAAGCATCGGTGTTTTCCTAATGGACGTTTTCTAAAGTGGATCCTGAGTTCAGATTTCAGATGAACAGCGTTCAAAGTGAAATATGTGGCTGGTATGTTTTTAATTGTTATTCTTGAGACCTAGTTAGAACATCTTACGGGTTCTGATTCTGGGGTCACTTGAGGGACCCACAAGCAAAAAACTTCTATCCTGTGGGGATCAGCACAAAGGTCCAGGAAACCAAAATCCGAAAGGGAAAGAAGGGATGAACAACAACCAGTGCTGCGTCGTATAGCAGGGGAAACACAAAGCTTCTATTCTTTTAGGTCACGTTTTCATTATGAAAGTGACAGAACTGCACAGAATCTTAATCACTCAAAAATAAATATACCACATTTTCAACCAGGCCTCCGCTGTTGGTTGCCGTCCTGCCACATTTGAATAAATGCTGGAGTCGAGGCTTGTAAGGTACGGCCACACTATGTCTACCTTTACATCCTGTGATGTAGGCAAAGTAGATTCAAAGTAAAACCTTGTTTCACAAGAACAACACTGAGGAGGTCTAATAAACCTGTGTGTCCTCAGGCTGCCTGACTCTGTTATTCTGTGTTTTAATGTGAGGAGCCCGAGTTTTACAGTGAAAATGTGCTCTATGTGCCTTCTTTGACTTCTCTCCACAGCTCTGAAGTAACTCCTGTATTTTCTTGGGAAGCAAACTCTGAAGTAATGCTGGTTTGAAGCTCTTTTTTTGTCCCATCATGATGCCGAGTGCTTGAAATGAAGTAAAACTAAAAGTGTGTACAAAATCCAAACATTCTGTGGATCCAGGTACATGATGTAAGGGGAGATTCTAGCACTCAGGGTGTGACTGTCTTCATACATCAACAATATGTCTATGATTATTGTCTCAATATTTGTGCCATAACTATACAGGCATCAGCACTACAGGGAGCCAATCCCAGAGAAGCTTTTTACACACTATGTGATGTGGTAGGATAGACTCAAGAGAGTGAAGGTTGATGAAGTGCAGAGAAATATGAAGAACATGCCGAGTACATGTCCCAACAAAACCACTTCATGGTTGACATTGCTTCATGGACCACAAACAGAGGAGCCTTCTAAGAGTCTGAGGACAATAGAACGGCACAAAACAGAGCTCTTCTTCTGGAACTGCAGTGACATTTAAGAACCCATTTGCTGTTGTGTTCTGACATTTTGTGAATTGTGTTGGGCGATTTGAGCGAGCAGCCCAGGCTTTGAGAAACCCTGGGCCCCCAAATACGACATTTGAGGGCGATTTTATCAGATGCAAACCTGCTAAAAAAAGGTAAAATGTGTGGTCGAGACAAAGGAAAGTGATTGGGACTGAAAAGAGGCTCAAGCGTGACGGTCGCCTACTCACCGGAACTATGTTCAGGTAGGCGGCCGCTCGGTTTGCATACAGCTTCTCCAGTAAACTGGTTGGAACACAGATTTCTTCCGAGTCAGCATACTCTGCTATACTCAAGGCCTCGGTGTACATCTCGATAGATTTTGTCCATTCGCCTTCTTTAAACACGTCGTTTCCTTCCCCAAAAAGATTCCACACGAGATCCTTAATGAACACCTGCAGACAGGAAGAGAAGCAATCAGTGCTAGAGAAACAGCTGGTTGGTGTTTTCATTCAGACACAGAGAATGGGACTCACTCAGCATCCCTTAAATCGCTTTAGCTCAATACAACACGAGTGCCGATACGAGATGGAAGCTGGAAGAAGCCCACGTGAAAATGTGCACCGCTCACCTCATACTGCTCTTGACTTCCAGGAAAAGGAAGGGTTGACCTGAAAGAGAGAGGAAGTTCACGTTACAAACCTTTAAAGTGTCAAAAAGAACAAAGAATGAGAGGTCACAATTTGGATTAGAGCTCATTTGCAATGAGAGCACAATAAGTCTCATTCAGGTCAGAAGGACTGCAGCTAACATTAACATCTTCTTCTATCAAAATAAATTGAGTGGAAAAGCTCAATTTTCAATGTATTTATTAATTGACAATAAGTTCATTGTAGTTTGTGCCTCATCAGTTTATTGATATTGAATATTCTGATCTGCATCGTCATTAAAATGTGTGTGTGTGTGTGTGTGTGTGTGTGTGGGGGGAGGGGGGGAAGGGTCAGTGGTTTGACAGGTTGCTGTGTGCGCAGGTGCTGACTTCATTGAAAGTCAACAAAAGTATTATTCCTTAAACAACCTTTCACTTTCAATATAAAATCTTCAACTCATGATTAAAAAAAGATTTTTTGCATTGAAAATATGCCAGCTAATATTTATGTGGTTGCTAAAAACAGGGAATATTAAGCTGTAATTAAAAACAAACAGGGAAAAGACATTCCTACGGATCGTCATGATTCAGTTAAAAAGGTAAAATAATACACAAAGTAAAGTTACTGTCTAGACTATGAATCATTCGGTGCATTGCGGAACTGGGCGGAGGATTTGTCTCACTGGAAAACAACAAATTAATCAAAAGGTTGCACCATTAAATGCCATGATGGCAAACCTTGCACTAACCACCGCAACGTTGTTTTGTTTGGCTGTCTCGAGCTCGGCTGCTGCCATTTAAAAGCAGTCTTTCCTCGTTTGTCGACTCGGCGGGCCAGTTTAATAGAGATCCTCGGTCATTACATTTTTTTATCAGTTCAACTTTACACATGATGACATCAGGGAAGTTTCAGCTTGACTGTACAGCAGTGGTCTAAGTATCACTTTGGTTTTACAAATGAAAGGCAGATCGGATGAAAGGCAACACTGCGCTGTCTGGCATGGCGCTAGAAAACAATATGTGGACACACCGCTGGACGGACGCATGAACACAGAGCTCAGATCAGATCAGTGGAATATCCCACATTAAAAACAAATGTAACGGAGAGCCAGACAGTCATCAGCCGCCCTGCTGACAGCCAGCTGATCTGAACAACAAAGCGCGATGCGAGGCTGACAAATCATTCCGAGCATCAGGTCGTCTAGAGAGGAACCCATGCTGGTCAATAAAAAGTCTTCATCTACTGAGCTTGTGCAACATCTCCAAGATAGGACAAGAAAGACTGGTGAGGACGAGTCATTACACCTCACACACGTTGGCTTCCTTAAACAAGCATCTCAGCCGTGACTTACTGGATGAACTGCAGGCCTTTCTGGATCTCCTGCCAGCGACTCCTTCTGTCCTGACACGCTTCGGACATGTTTGTATTAATATACACTCCTCTGTCAGCACCTGGAAGTATGATACACACAGTATTTAAACAACGGGTAGAAGAAGAAAAAACAATGACAGCATAGAAGCACTCATTAGTCGTCATCAGCATCAGGCTGTCCGACAGTTTCAGTTCACACACCATTATATTACTGAAAGGCTTCTTGCCTTCAACGTTCATAGCTTCCGCATTTAGTAATGACGACACACGTGTAGTTCCGGTAGTTGAACTACACATTTCTCACCAGATTGTGAGCAGATAACGTTAACGTAACATCCTCGTATAATAAACACTAGAATAAAAGTACATATCCGTAGCTGCGGACGATAAATGGCGCACTTGTTGGGCCAGGTTAACTGTTTAAAACGTAGCATCTGGAAGCTGGAGGTCCATTATCGGACATCATTGTGATTGCACTGATTCATTCTTCGGCTTTTTGGAGTTTATGTTCAAGCAAATGTTTAGTGTTTCACACGATACGAATAATAAACACGTATTGGAGCATATAACGTGAGATTTCTTGTCAGACATTAACTGTGATTAAATGTCAACCCGGTACCGTCACAGTTCATGTTCAATAATCCATTACGGTTTGGTTTTCGATCTCTTCAAAAACTACTTTCTAAACAACACAGGATCTGGGTTAAAGGAAGAGGGTGATGATATAAGCTTTTTTCTTATATACAGTCTGTGGTTTTAAGTCCTGTTTTGGTCAGCAAAGCAAACAAATAACTTTGTTCTAAGGACATTAATATATATAGAAGCTTTCACCGATTAACAGGCTACGTCATCTGACTGTGTGAAGGAAACATCCTTTAAGTCAACTTTTAGGGAGAGGGGAAGCTCCTCGGACAGGGAGGTGTCCGATAATGGACCCATCGCATTTAGCGCACGTGTGTGTTTTACCCGCGGCCGGGGGAACCGCTGAGAGTAGACTTCTAGTTAGCAGTCATCATTTGCTAGCAACGGGTTAGCAATACGTTGCTCACATTAGTTTTAACAGCCGGAAACATCTTAACCGTTGAAACGCAACAGTGCTCTCCGGTGCTGGGAACACACCGGCCTAACCGAGCTACGTGACGTTACCCGACCAAGTTTCTAGGAAGTACTCTGAACCTAACAAAGCGTCGGCATGTCAAGTTAAACTAGTTCACCAACGCAAACAATAGCACTTGACGTTTAGCTCCCGCCTGAGAGCTGGTAAATACCACATCAATTATCCAGCAATGGCCGCTAAACATACTTACATGAATGGATCTTTGTTCCCAAACGACCCTTACGTCGGTTATCCAAAAGGAGGGGAAATGATTTCTCGTTTTAGCTCAAATAACTTAGCTAGATGCGCTGTATCGCTGAAGGCCGCCCGTTGCTTCTTCTTCTTCTTTGATTCAATGTAGAGCGAACACCGACTCCAGCGGTGTGCTGCCCTCTACAGGCGGTGGACGGACACGACAGCGTCCCCACGCTGAAAGTGACCTCGCCAAGCATGAAACCAACACGTCTCTATTAGTAATCATAACAATACAGACTATTTGATATATATACAGCACAAACGCATGCATTTCTTATATATTTATGTTGTTTATTTGTAACATAGCTGTGGTTTACTTTAATTTGCCGTATGTGCTAATGAGGATAATTCCCTTGAGGGTGATATGATTGGCATCCGTTTGGATGTGTGGATCTAATGTCTTTATTATGAGCCACACTATGTGCATTACGTGTATCTTTCAGTGAGTGAGTATGCATGTATAATGACTTTCTTCAGGCAAACAACAGAGAACTGCCACATCAAGGAAATGGAGCTGAAAGTGACGCCTTCACTGAATATAAACATTTTCTTTTACTAAGAAGCACATTGCTGCAACAGAGGTTGACCATCATGTGACAAAAAGTCAGCATTATTTCTAAAATAAATGTATAGTGCCATATTTTAGGAATTAATGAATTGTACAAGATTTCCCCCCTTTCTTCGTGCGTTTGCCAATATATTAATATGGTAACCTTGTAGATCCACACTGGGGGCTCCATCGTAATTCAAAAAATGATCAAATCCTTTAGGCCCTTTGCTAATATATACACTAAGACACCCTGTTTCCATCTCTTCAACCAAATCTACAAAGCCAGTCACAGTTCAGACTGTTAAGCCTGAAGCAATGAAAACTGCTCTCACCCTCAACTGTCCTTTCTGCAAATCTTTTTTTGAAAGTTTCTGATTTTTGAATTGATCAACACATTAAGCCTCTCGGATCCCGTGTTCTGGTAAATGTGGAACTTTGCTTCACAAAGTAAAAGCTCGGGACAAGTACTGAGCTTCAGTTCCAGCTTCAAGGAAAATAAAAGAAATGTTCTTGTTCTCAGTTTAAAACTTAATCCTTTAGTTTCCAGGTTCAAATTAGTGTTGGAGAGCAACCTTGAAAGCATATTAGTTCAAAAGATACCTAAATAGGTTGAATGTGAAACCAGGTGGATCCCATTTTTAAGGATGTACTGTAATCTAATACAGCTGGACTCTAGTAACACAATAATGCAACACATTTAAAGGAAGCAGACATGTCAAACTGTACGCTGATAAAGGAATTAGTTTCAGTAAAAAGTTCATACATTGTAGATAATGCTGTACATTAAATGAATGCTCATTTAATTTGCACATTTGTGAAGCATAAAAACAGAGGGACAAAACACAGTAATAAAGTGAAGTAATAAAATATGTAGATATAAGGATTGTATATTACAATAGTGTTATAATACTAAACCAGTATTAGGAATAAGATCCGTCTTTCAACCCCACTCTTATTTCTGAAATCAGTCCGGTTTTCTCTTCTTTCTTCCTCCATAACTTATCTGATCATGTTTCATTTTGTCATGTAGAAATTATGAGTTTGCACGTTGTATAATTAGATCTATAATTAGATCCATAGATCTGTGTGAGGAGAAATACAGCCTAAAGTCCCCCCCCCCCCACACACACACACACAAGTCCATTAAGTTTCTTAACTCACTAATCCTCTGGATGGTTCTCAGGCTGAAGCTTGTCCAGTGTTTTTCATTTAATCTGAAAAATCTCATCATCTCTCGTTCAGGTATAGGATTTCAACCTCGACCTTCTGGCAGGCTAATGTCAAGAAAACAAGTATATGAAACAGCGTAAATTGTCTGGGATTTTGCTCTCGTCCTGGTTCGTTGCACATTTGTAGCTCAGTCAGGCTTCCCAGGCAGGTGTTCCGCTCGATACGATCTAAACATTCACCGGATGTTTTGTGGCGATGGATAGGTTGAGCTGAAAATAATCAGATATACAGGGATGGAGGGATGTGTCTCCTCTCATGAAGAGCAGTCACCCTGGCAGCTACAATAACTTCCAGGAGGAGGCGCTTATCTCACATTGTGCAGGAGCATCGCTGAGGAACTGAATCACAAAACACTATGACTTATATGTCCCCTGTTATCAAAACCCAATGCGTGTGCCTTTTATGATTGAGCTGCCCTGATATTACTGCCAGCTGCTCCCACATTATGAATGACAATGGAGTCCAGAGCTGAAAATACACTTTCAGAAAACATAATAAAAAGATGAAACCCAAAGATATGACACGATTCATGCCATTTTCAGATCAGCTCTGCAATTTGTCAAATAAACAATCTCAGCTGTTAAACTCAAACACTTGAAGTGCTGCTCAGTAAATCACACTGACAATAATGATAGCTACAGTTTGCTTTAAGGAAAGAAGGTCTTTTCTATTCACCCGCTGACATGTTTATTTACAAGGTGGATGGAGTCTTTATGATTATGGAGGGGAAACTATATTATCAAAGTGTAAGTGCCATAATCTGGAAGGTGCATTTGTTGTGAGGAAGTGGAACCACACATCGTGCTGCTTACAGAAACTAAAAACGTGCTGCGTCAGCAACAATTAGCCTTGAAGCTCATTGAAATCTGTGCCTCAACTCAACACAGCGTCTTCTATACTCTAAGTTTTGTTTGATTTCTAATATCTTCTCTGTACCCAATTTACACAGATGACACTTAGAAAGCTCAAAATGACTTGCGTTTTATGTGTAAACAAATAAATAAACACATTAAGTGATCATCCAGAGTGACTCCGGTCTGTTAAATGTATGTTTGATTTGTTTTGTGTCTCCCTGCAGTTGAGTCACACATAGTTCAGGAAGAGAATCTTTTTTTTGTGAATATTTTGATTGGTGCAACATCCCAGAATGCAGTCTTTTTTAGAGACAAAACATATTTAGAAAAGAAATAACAATGTCTTAAATAATGGAAAGATTTGTTTTAATTGCTATCTATCTATCTATCTATCTATCTATCTATCTATCTATCTATCTATCTATCTATCTATCTATCTATCTATCTATCTATTGTTGTGGAAAATATTCCTATACCCGCTTTGCGTGAGTCTTTTAATGCTGAAATACATAATACCAAAAACCAGGTTGTCTTTTCAGTATTTATTCTCTGCGCAGAGAAGGTTCAATCATCACAACAGAATGCGTACAGTCTCAGTGAGGAAGAACCAAGAAAAAAGTGAACAAGCTTTCTTTATGAAGAATGAGCAAAGGTGGGGGCCGATGGCCAAGGTTACACACATTTCAGTCTCAGACTGATGGGAACAACATTCAAAAACAAACGGTCAGCAACCAAAACAAGCGGCCCAAAGGCCTTGGCGCTGGAACATTCTCATACAACACAGTTAGTTATCTTTGTGAACAGAGAGGGAGAACTCTTCTTCTGCACAACAGAGACACGGTGAAGTTCAACAAAGTTCAGAGCAAAGTTACTTATGAATACAATATACCGAGTAGAAATATATACTAAGTAGGTAGAAATATATACTACGTAAAAAATGACCATTACAATTACATTTATATATTTGTTTTTCATATATGTGTGTACAGAAAAGTAAAAATGTCATCTGGTACACAACATTAGCAGCCTGAAGCCTGGAGATAAACACACAAGCACTGGTCCCACACTGCTGAGTGAGCAGTACCATCCTGCAGGATGTGTCCTCTAGGGGGCGTACCGTTTGACATGCACTGGATTAGCCTAGGGCCAATGGTGATGGTCAGGACTCAGGAGATTATTCAAACAGCATCTAAAAAAAGCTCTCCACCCAATGCTACACTCACTGAGTGTACGTAAACACTTGGTGTGGAGTTCAGCCGCCTGTTGCCTGCCATGGCTGCGTTTTGCCGGATACTTCTCCTGTTATCTGGTAAGGGGATTTTTTTCACTTCATAGTGGAGCTCCAAGTAGAAGTAGTGAAGAAAGTCATTTTAAGGACTCAGAGGGAGTGCAACAAGGGAACAGGAAGAGACACTACTGGTGTTTGCAGAGTGAGTCAGTGAAAGTGTTATTCTAAAGCAGCAAGTGCAAACAAACTCAATCAGCTTTGCTGCACAATTTTTCTACTTTTCACTTTTCTACTTCATTTCAAGTCTGAACCTGGCTTTCTGGTGGAGGTGTGAGATGTGAGTGTAAAGTCAATTCTCAGAGTCCTACTTAATAGTATACCGAGGCTCTGTGCAGAAACAGGCATGTGAAGAAACAGACTGGAAGTGGAACTACATACACTCAGTTGTCAGTTTATTAAGAACAGTTAAATCTAATGCATAATGGTCCAATAAATCCTACCTGGTTATTACAATGCTTTTGTTGAGGTACACTCATTGATATAAATGGAGTGGGCAAAACAATAGAAACACGTCTATAGCGCAATACAGTTAAACAAACTGCATCCTCCAAAAAGATGATAATGTTGAATCAACCCATCTCAATGAAAACTGAATGTTACAACCATGACGGTAGGATTTCTGTTGTATCAGACTGCATTGGTTTCAGCTATGTGTACCTAATAAACTGGCAAGCTTCAGTGTATATGTGGACAAAAGAAAAGGAACACTTAACAATCTAACGCAAGACAATTCTGTTTAATTGTGTCAAAGAGACAGCAGCACCTATTATTGTGTCCACCCCTGAATATGACACCATATATCACATAATGCCACATAATCAGTCGGATAGATCTTCACTAAACATTGTGGATGGGTGTGCACAACCTGAGACTTGTTTACAAGACAAGAGATGAGTTTGTTCCTCCTCTTCCATTCTTCATTTCCCCTCGCAGTGGCTGCGGCCTCTGTGGCGACACGCAGGTCCCAGCGGACCAAAAGAGGGTTACTGGAGTTGGCAGGAGCCATCAAATGCAGCACAGGGAGATCTGCCTTGGCTTACATGATGTACGGATGCTACTGTGGTCTGGGTGGTCAGGGCTGGCCTAGAGACAGGGCCGACTGGTGAGGATACCGGCTTTAATCACACTCTTCTCAAGAAAGTACAACACTGTCAGGGCCTTTTCTTTTCAAGAATATCTGGATGACATTGTGAGCCAAAATGTACACACTTAGCTGACACTATATACGGCCCACCTATACATTACGTGACGCCAAAGATATAATTCAGTGTGCCATGGTGATGTTTAGCCCTCCACTCCACATGCACACACATTATTCCCTCCTCTCAGTCTCGCCTCCTCCTTCCCGCTTGTGTACACACAGTTTCCGTTTCTGAATGAGTCGAGTGAACCACAAATGCTGTGCGATGGGATAGAAGGAGGGAATGATGTCCAAATTCAGCTCCCTCACGTGCTCCAATGGGTACCTCAAAATAGTTCCACAAATTCCACACCCAAATCCTAATTGCCGTCTCCTTCTTTTTCCTCCTTCTTCCGCAAGACACCGAACCCCCTCAAGCCAGTTAACGTCTAACTATCTGTTGTGAAAACCTCTGCCCTGCTTTTAAGAAGGCCGCGGTGGGACTCAAACCACAGCGCTGTGATTACCCACCTATTGCTTTCTTGACCCTGCCTTGTCTAGAGTTCAGCCTTTCAAAATAAAACATTTATCCTGCTGTGAATCTCTCTGTATGTAGGTGTTGCCACAGACATGATTGCTGTTATGGAGATGCAGAACGTCTTGGCTGCCATACCAAAACAGCCCAGTACCAGTGGACGTGTGAGGACAAGAAAGCTGAGTGTGGTAATGGATTTTTAGTGCTTAGACATTGGATGGATTACTAAATAGGCCTACCGGACTCAGGCCCTGGGGCCCGAAGTGTCCTGGCCTTCACCTGCAAAATGTCAATGAAAGAGACACATAGCGACCAGGAAAAATTCAAAATGCCCACTAAAAATGAAACATAAAAAGACAACAAAGAGACACAAATTGCCACAAAGAGAACCCAAGGAGATGCAAAACAGCTGTAAAGAAACACAAAGAGACCACAAAGAGATTTAAAATGACTGTAAAACACAAAATGACCACAAAGGGACACAAAATAATTACAGAAAGATGCAAAATGACCACGAGACAGAAAACTAACAAAAATAACCTAAAAAATGATAAAGTCTGTGTGTCTTGCTTCTATCTAGGAGAGGGGATGGGGCCTGCCAGTGTATGTAGGCATGAGATTTTGTTATTTTGAAAGTAAGACAGCTGCTGCTTTCTTATTTTTAGTGGTTGCACGCTTAGATATGATGCTTTGTGTACCATGCAACACACCATTACGGGTAAACCGGAAAGTGAGACACAGATCAGACAGTGTGTGATCTACAAATATCCATGGAAACAGTAAACAGGCAGTTAATTAGAGGGGAAAGACATCTTTCAGGGTATTTTAAGCCCCCATAAACCACGGTAATTTCTCTGCATAAATAGCAACAGACTTAATGGGGTTTATGTATTTAAGTACCAAAATAGTGGGTCGCTTATGATATTCTTTAAATAAATCAACGTAAAATAAATTCAGAATAACCACAATTACGTCTCAGTAGCCAGATGTCTTTCCAGAGAAACTGCAGCAAATTAACCATTCGGGGGCAAAATGAATAAAGCATGGGCTTGTTTGTAAGACGAACAGTCAAGACTTTGCAAGCGTTAGAACAAGTATTCACAACAAATTACACGATGCTAATGAGAGCACCACCATCCTCTTGTCCCTGAAAGAAGATCTTTCTGTTTTTCGTTGCAGAGGATTTGAAGGACAAATGTGAAAATCTGCTGTGCAAGTGTGACAGAGACGCCGCCAAGTGTTTGAGAAAAGCACCTTTCATCCAGAAGTTTGCCCTTTGGCCAGATTTCCTCTGCGGTTACGAGCACCCAATGTGTAATATTTACTGACACAATCAATGCATGTCCTGTGTGCCTATTGTAAATATAGCATGTCACAGTAATAATGGTAGTGGCATAGTTATTTGACTTCTATTGTGATTTTTTTTTTTTACTGTCATCAGGCTCTTTTCATTAAATGGTGAAAGAATATAATGAGTTGTGTTTTTGCAGACACCTTTATATTGATTATGTTGTTCTAATAAAAGACAAAAGGAACACTGTTGACAGACACACTGTGTGTACTTCCTGGAATGTGATAAGGATAACAATCACACAATGGAAAGGTAACTTGAGCGTTCAGTCGAAACTCAGTCCAAAGGTGAAATGTTAATCAGCGAGGGAAAGATCAGATAGCCGCCCTCACAACAGTGCTTTATTTGTATAAAAACTATGCAGCAGACAGGGCAACGCCTGTCTTATAACTCTTAAGTTGACTTGGGGTTTGTTTGACTAAACATTTTTTCATTTATTTTTATCTTGTGCGCTAATAGGAAAACCAAGGTTTTCCTGCTTTTGTATTTTAAAGCCTGCTGTGACACTTTCTTTCCATTTTCCCAGAAACCCATGAGGGAAATATTTCAGCTGCATTGTCATGTTCCATTGAGGCATTTCAGCCGGCTGAAAGGGTCCTTTAAAGGTTTTGATATTATCACAACACAGCTACAGATTGTTTCTGTGAGAGTCAATAAATACCTATTAAGTGATCTCATATACCCTCAATAGCAGACTGCGAACACATGAGATCTCATTGGCTGCTTGTTTTCTTCATTACAGTACAAACAGAGAAGCATTTAACATCTACGACTGTTGCATTGTGGGATGTCTCCACAGAAAAAAAATAGTGTTTGTGTGTATAATAGATATCACTCAATTATATCACCATATGTATATCTATCTATGAATCTCCCTATACATAGATAGATAATATGTATATAGATAACGAGTGTCATGTATAAAATATATGTCACTCATGAGTAACGGAATTGAGGATGTAAAAAAATAAGAAATGGGAAAGTCCCTCCGCAGAACGTCACCTCTTTTTGCATAAGTAAAGTCTTGGTATTGGCCTGCAGATGGCGCCATATTCACAAACACTAAACATGAAGCACACTGACACAAAATGAACCAAGCATTTATGGGCAAACAGCCAAACAATTAGAGAGTTTTCACTTAATAATGATCACTGATATTATGAGTTAGATTCACGTAAAACGGATTTAATGAATTAAAGTTACTTGTGACCTGTTATTGACTCTGGGTTTGAATGTTTTCGTGCAGTAAATGACTCTATTTTGGTCCACCGCTGTTGGTTTTGGGTTTGGCTCAGGGACTTCCTCCAGATCGAATCAGTGAAAGTCAGAACCCTCAATTCTCCTCTGACACCCAGTAAACAGTGTCACCAGCATGGCTGTAATCACAGGGAACACTGCCCTCCCAGATGTTACTGCTCAAGTGAGCGTTTACACTCCTAAAGCATCGCTCACACGGGAAACACAGTGTCTTTGTTGAATCATTGCACCGCTCGTGAGTGTGGACTGAAACGGGAGACGATGCCGTGGTGGTGCAGTGTCCAAAGTCCTGGACTGGAAATAAGTATCTGGGTCATGGCCCACAAACACTTGCCCGATTGTGCCCAACCTTCAGCGGGTACCAGCTCTGAAGTTATGGGAGTCATACGCTTCCATCCAAGAGGGAGGCTCAGAGTCCCACTTTCCTGCATGAGTAATCTGTTCTAAAATAAAAGAAGCATGTACAGCAATGCAATTAAAGCCACAAACCATATGTTATGTATGTAACTTAAAGTATTAACATAAACATGAAGAGAATGTTGTGATCTGTCATGTCACAAAAGTAGCCTTGCAGGTTTGCAGAGAACAGTTCTATTTGCATCATACGGTTTTCTTCCGACTCTCTCAGAACGCAGCCTGAATCCTGCTCCCTCTCTTTTCCCTGCTGCCCATGAAAGGTTGATGAGATTTTTCCTCGGAGTGGTTTTCTGGCAGCCCACTCTTCCCTTCTGTCCCTGCTGTCTGGGAGTGGCCTTTCAGAGATGTCAGCTCTTGACTTTGTTGATGATTTCTCACTTGTGTAGCTTTCGCCAATTGGCTTCGTCACACTGTCTGTGTCAGTCTTCAGCATCTTGTCTACACCTGCATGGGACTGGACCCTCTGTCCGTCATTGCAGACTGATAAATTGTAAAAGTTCACTCTGGCTGCAGCCGACGTACAAATCCTGGTTAGAAACTGACCTCATATTAACATTTCTGGAGCAGTGTGGCACTGTTGAGGAGATCCTGTGATCGAAGAAATAGCCCATCCCACATATGCACAACAGCATGATTGTCACAATGAATGAGCGCATGCTTTAATCCCTGCTGGGTGAGCTGACAGAGCCTGTTCCACGCTAATTGCGTTCTTTAATCAACTGTTTGGCTCCCCAGCCGAGAGCCAGATGGCCCACAATGAAGTCTTAAACAGCTCCCAACATAAACAATAACAACCATGTGCAGAATGTGACTTCTTATCAGCAGAAGATCTGGAGGCCTGTTTGGGCTGCTATGTTCAGGCCAGGGGTCGGCGACCTTTTTCCATATGAAGTGGAATTTTGAAATTTTCTAGTGTAACATATCGGCATGAAGATAAACATTACGTTTATTATGACACCACATTGAAATGTAAATTTCCAGCAGATGTGTAATTGTATTCCATTCATATGTAGGCAACTGGCGTAGAAACATTTAAAAAAACAGTTTTCTCCCCGTAATCACTTCATCGTAATTATAAGAGCTCCATACAAGAAGGCTGCCATGCTTATGAAAACATCCACATTTGAGTTGAAATCATTATAATATGATATAATCACCAATCATCATCAGCAATTAACTTAACAACTAGTTCTAACCAATCAGAGGCAGAGTAGGACCGGTCTTCGCGGAATACGGAAAGAAAAAGAAAGTGAAACTACTTTAAATAACCGGCCGAGCAACTGACAATGGCTGTGAAAGAGTTAATTTGGCATGCGGATAAAAGGGCACCAACATTTCCAAAAATCTCTCTCGTCCACTTTTTTCTAGTGTGCCATTGGCTACGCTATCCTAAGGTTGCCCACCCCTGGTTTAGGAAAATCACTTTCACATTATTTGTTCAGCTACCTACTGATGTACTGAATATAGTTTTTTATTATTATAAAATCATTATTATAAAGGAGAACTTAAATGCTGTTGAACACGGGATTTTGATGGGCTACAATCCCTCATTTACTGTGTAAAAATCCATGTTGGGTTCAGAATACTACTGCCCACACAAAGAAGGAAATCAATGTGTGTGCAGCCAACAGCAGCCCCGGACCTGTTGCCAATAAATACTGCATGTTACAGACTCCTTTGTCCTCCTCCTCCTATTTCAGTCTCCTTTGTGTGTGTTTTCTTCGGAAGCAGTGAGAAAATGATGAGAAATATGAGGAATATTGTCAAACAGAGTCAAATATTCTTAGAACGAAGTGTAAGTTGACAAAGTTTAAACTTTTGCTTGCAGTGACACCATCTGGCCAATTAGCTGCAGCTTTCCAGGTATATGTTGTTTTGCTTAGGACTGCACATTTCCTGCAATGTGTTGTTTCCTAATTGGAAGGGCAGCTCTTATTCTGCTCTTTTTTCACCTGTTTGGAGAAGATAGATTCAACGAGAACACACAGCCTCCACCTGTGCCACAAAAACACAGAGAAAAGGCAATACAAGTTTGATCATTAAAACATAAGGAATGCACACTTATATTCTGCTACTATATCTGGAGTTTAAACAGGAGCTGTGAAAAGCAAGACTAATTAGAAAGGTCCTGATAATTGCTTTCCTAATATTGTTGGAGGATTTGTTATGCGACAAACTCATTTCAACTAGTGTGTCACATGCTTACGTAGGTATTCATATACTTCTATGGTGAAGGCTCTTTTGAGATGACATTATCCGCCAGTTTAAACTCTCCCTAGATCTGTTTGACCAACTTTAACTATCTGACATCTGACAAGACATCCATCTGACAAGTCATCTATAAAGGTAGTGATTTGTGTGCCAAATGCAGCATCTCATGTCCCAGTGACTGGAGGTTGCACATTATCCACCAGTGAAGTGCTGTGGATGCTGCTGACTAAGGTTTATCTAAAACGCCCGCAGCAGCAGCAGCTTCCAGTTGTTTCCTTCCTGTGACTGTTTACAGAGACAGATGGAACGAGATGATACGCTGCAACCTGCACCAGATATGAATCATTGAGGCTGCAGCATGGAGCGTTACCCGGGAAACTGTAATAGTCTGATTAGTGTCAGCTGAGTGTGCATGACTGTAGTGAAGTTACACCAATGTGATGTGAGGAAAAACATGGACAAATTACATTTGATGACATTTTGAAAAATGCAAACAGAAACTGTTGATTAATGCAGACTTGGCAAAATGAGAGCAGGTGGATTTACCTTCAATCATCTGTTCTTTGTAACCCAAAGATCCGCTCTCTCCGCTCGTAGGATATTGTATTTCAGTTTGCTTCTCATGACATCACAGAAATATGGTCAATGGCTTAAATTGAAAAATACACTTGTATTATTATTATTATTATTGTATTATTAAATGATTAATAATTATGATTCAATGATTGCTGAATGTATTAATCACCATGATCTTATAGCACAGTTAAGACACACATAAAAAAATGAAAAAGCACATGCAAATGTATTTTATAGAATGCTATAGAGCTAAATCTAAGCACAAATTCATGAATCAGAGATCAGAATCAGAAACTGTGTTATTATTAAGTTGGTTTGCACAAACAAGGGATTTGTATTTGTGATTTGGTGCATAACAATAAACTTTCAAAATAGGAAATAGATAAAATTACAGTAGAAAATATGTACAATGTGACGGAGTCAGAACTGTTAGTCATTTAGACGTATGCTGTTCTTATTGACAGATAGCGGTGAGTGTAAATCCAGCAAGTAGCTATGACACAATGTTCAGCAGCCACAGAACAGTTCAACATTGTCCATGAATCTACTGCTGTTGATTGGTGTTGGTCTACCGCAGCGTGTTCAAAAGGCACGGACGGGGTTCGAACCCGCGATCTTCGGTTTACGAGACCGACGCCTTACCACTTGGCCACCGCGCCTGCGCTGACTTCACGGTATTAATCCATTTTGTATAGTGGCGGACCAGTTTGTGCATGTACAACATAACAGATATGGCGGATATCACCGTTTCCCTTTACAGACTTGAGACTCGCCTTCTTCCTCCCAAAATACACATGAACGATATGTGCCGCTGAAATGAGCTTACTGCAGCGCTTTAGATGTATTACTGTAATTCGACCACAAGAGGAGGCTGTTATCTTCCATGTGTGAGCAGCATGTGTCTGTCTCTAGCAGCTTTCAGCAAGCAGAGGTCTCTGCTCTCCTACTTCTAGTGTTAACGCTAAAGAAGCACAAAGAAGGTGAGCGCTCACTCTTTACAGTCGTCACTCTTTATGCTTTTGTTTAACTTTAGTGACCTACAATGAGCTTTTTGTTAAACTAAACAGAGTAGGCTACGCTACCTACAAGCTGTAATGATTACACCCACAACAAAACAAAAGCGTAGGATTGGATGGACAGAATACCTTTGTGAAGTCTTAGGTAGTGTCCTGAGGTTGGTAATGAAGGAAAAACCATTGGAGCATATGCTCAGCGAATTCCACTGCAGTCATCTGCACATGTTATAAAACAGAAAATGTGCAAAGTTGAGAATTTGGTCAAGAGTTCATCTAAATGGGAGCTTGAATTCACGACAATCGACCCAATACATGCCATCCTGTCTTGTCTATAAGGCAGATAGAGGAAGAAAATATCAGAGGATTTAGCCACTGAAGTGAAATGACCTTCAGTTTTCGAGATACCTCACTATTGTGTGATCACAATCGCAAAACAATAAAAGCATGTCAGTGTTTTTTCAGGGGGATATTTTGGTCTAACAGTGCTGCTAGAGAAAAAGTTCAGGGGGTCACCATTATCACCAGGAATCTTCTGTGGGACCCTGAATACCAGAACTAAATGTAGTGGCAATCTGTGCAGTACTGTCAAGGTATTTGTTCTGAATCAGCATCGAACAGACGGAGAATGAGCTTGCATAGCTAATAAGTATGAGAACCAGTAGGTTGCTTGTAATTCGTCTCTAAGCAATACAATATGCATGAAGCCAGACTGCAGCTTTGCACTGTCTCTCTTCTCAAAACATCAAAGATGAACGCTCGCCTGAGGGGCTTTTTTTTGGGGGGGGGGGGGATCAGATATCCTGGAGGCTGTTTGAAAACTGAATAAGACTCATTTCCATTGGGAATGAGTTAGCGATGAAAATCACAGATGTGGAGGGTTCACCTTGACCTGTTAATAGCAAGTCGTCAGCACACAGACCAAAAGACGGGGGCTTCTCTTGAATAAACCACATAGGTTTCAGAGCACCTTGAAATGTGACAGCCATGCGCATTGTTCTATCTGTTTCGCAAACCTTTACTGAAAATAAAACATTTTTAAATAGCATTTATTGCACCCACAAGTCAGCGATGGTGATTTGCTGACACATGCTGCATCCTCAAGTCCTAAAAGTTTGGGGGGAGAAGTGTAAATGCTGACTGATGAGCTGTAGTCCCGCTAGGGAATGAATATTTATTTGTCTCTGTTATTTAGGATTTAGGCTCTTCATGCCCTTCAGATGAACCTTTATGGAGCAAAATGAAACTGAATGAATCTGAGTAATTTAAAATAGCTAACGGTGCTTATTGTTTATTTGAAAATGTCACATGGAAGTGTTTATTTTAGACGCTGTGCTTTTTTTATTATTTTAATCATAAACCTCTTTCCCATCACAACCTGAGAGATACAATATGTTCCAGTCAGAGATTACATGGATCTGGGGCATTTTGTGTTCACGTGGGGAACACTAAGCCGCCCACTCCCTGAGAGAATACGAAGTATTACTGGAGCAATCTATTTAATTATTTATCAGTCTATTGCTTTGAAAAATCACATTATTTGTCTGTGCTTGTGCAGGAATACCCCTGTGCCCAGAATGTGTGAGAATATATATTTGTTCAACAGACACGTTTTTTTTTCTCTGTACAGAGCTTGCTCTTTTCTCATGTAAACAAGAAGGAGACTCAAGTACATGTGCTATTGAATTCTGATAACTGACCAACAAAATGACACACTGCACTTATCTAAAGCCTCCTCTGGCTGCTTTATATTTCTCTAAGCATGTTGGCGTTGTCACCGTGATATGATTGCTGACAAGCTAAAACACTATGGAAGACGTCACGAATGAGGAAATGACCACAACTCTGTTTCATGGCTCACAACATGATGTCACCAGCCGTCAAATTCACCATAGCGTGACAAACATGAAAAGTTGTGACGTTAATGTTAAATATCTATCAATCTTCTCTTGGCAAGAAAGCGAATACGCGCACAGCTGCTTCACAAAATGTGTAACCAATGCCGTTGATACTTTTTTGTGTGTAGCCTTCGGATGTGTACAGTTGTTTACATATTTCGATACAGATAAACCTTACTTGTAGCTTGTAGCTAGCTAGCTAGCTAGCTAGCTAGTTCTGCATTGAGTAGCAGTAACTAACCATGACTGTAGCTACATTACCCAACTGTTCTTCCTTTAAACAGCCCCAACATACACCAGACGACCACACAAACTATCATAGTAGCAAATTAAAAACTTGTCTTGACTATTGTAGAAAGTTAGGAGACTGTTGTTTCTAAAGGAAACAAACTACAACTTCAAAGAACCAAGTGCTGGACAATGTGTTAGCATGACTTCACTTCACTTCACAAAAAGGCAAAATAGTGTGTTAATACACACTATTTTAAACTTGATGGGAATTATTTAATAAATAAACTGGGATTCTGTGACGTGGAAAGTTTTGCTACCATGCTACAAAACTAGCATGGTACTAAAGTAGCTAATTTACTGTATACATTTCTAAACCCACCATCTTAATGAACTGAAAGAAAAACAAATATTTATAGTTTTACAGAAATAACTAGACATATTTGTTATGATACTGTGCAGTATACAACATTTTCCTTATTCATATGAATAACATCCGGCATCCTTAGTTGTTTTTTTAAAGTTATTAGAAGTTTTGAAGAGCGCATCCCTTTGGCATCACAATGTCTTATGATCCCACTCCTGCTAGTCTTTTTGTTTACATTTGTCAAAATATAATGTTTGACATTAATTCACCTGCATGCTTGTGTGATGACTAGTTAAAATCTGCAAAGGAAATGTGTTTAAATGTGTCTCAATCCAGACAAATGCAACATGGCAGCCAAACACCGTGGGTCTTTGCTGGTGCAGTGTGAGGAGAAAATTGGTCATTGTGAGAAGGCTATGCTGGATCTGACCCTGGCTACAACCAGACATGCAAGTGTGAAATCCAGTTGAAAGGTAAGCAGCTGATGAAGCTTCATAACAAAAGCAATATCATCTCTCCCCCTCTCGCCAAAATGTCTTTTCATCCATCTTACTCCTACTTTCTTAGCATTCATCTCCTCATTCACTCGGCTATTTTCAAAACTTCACACAGCAGATAGATGTTCGTTTTGATAAAATACCACTAAAGCAGTGGATTGAAAATCCTCTGGGTCTAAAATGTGTAACGTCTAAGCGCTACTTGATTATGTTTCTCTTTTTTGTCTGTTGCTTAATGTATACGGAGCAATTAGGTGCACATCACTCATGCCTGTTGGGTCTGTTACCATAGCTACAATACGATTGTGCAGACAATCATCTGGTCCTTGTTTCCTCCAATAGGGTCGCACGGCTGAAGCTGCAATATAAAGTAAAGATGCTCATCTTTCAGCAACACACAAGTAAGAATGAGAAACAGGTTCATGAGTATGAGAAAGTCTTGCAGAGTGGCAGGCAGGGGACTGCGCCCAGTCATGGCGGACCACAGAAACAAGATCCGACGAGCTGCACAGCAGGAGAGGAAGGTGAGAGCATCTACCATTTTGAAATTCAACTCCTCTTATTGTTCAATGAAAGAGTTTGGCGGAACAAAACAGTGACAGTAAACAAGATTGTATTCAGGCTTTGAACGCAAAAAGGGACCAGGAGGAACAAAAAGGAAGTGCCACTTTAAATGAAATGCATTATTCGGATGAATGCAGACAGGCGGTCTGCTTATACTTATAGATGTAGTCCGAGGCTGTTTAGGTCACAGTTAGTTTCAATTGGTGAGCTCAAAGACGTCTGGCTCTGCTTTGTTTAAAAGAAGGTGTTGTTTTTACATTACATACAATGGAACAGCTGGAAATACAAAAAAAAAAGGCAAATCAGTGTTTTGCTTTAAATGATCAGAGTCTGTCGTAAATGAATATTACAAATTTGAAACTAGTTATACAGAGGTGGCGTCAATCAAAGAGAGCCACATATCCCATCAATCATATCATCTGAGGAAAAGATGCATTCAGGGACAATCATGGAGGAGCTTTGAGACCAGGGTTGTTGAAATCAAAGGCCTGAGAGCTGAAATCATTTTTTTTGCAGGCTATCTGTATCCTTCTGAGAGAAATAAATGTGGTCAGTTAATCTGCGGCTTGGAAAAGGACAACAGCCAATGCAGCATGTTCAAGCTGCCCCCCTACTGGGCGGCCCATGAGCCTGTCGATATGGTGGTTTGATGTTGGATGGAAAATAAGAACCCCCCACAACAAACAGAGAGGGCTGGAACAGAGAGACTGGAACAGAGAAAGAGAGGCTAGAAAGGGAAGAACCATCGACAGATGGACTCTGTTGTGATTAAAGATGGCGGCAGCCTTTACTGCAGACTACGAAGGACGATCCCCGATCCATAGAAAAGCGGTGGGAGTAGTCTGCGATCCAACACAACAAAACCAAGAACCACACAGTAAGGTAAACCAGCAGGTATGATCTCTGCTTTTGAATCTCGAGGATGAAAACCACGGCTACCAGTAACTTTCCATTGTGTTATTCATCGTTCTATTATGTCTGTTATCGTTTTTCATGTCAGTGCCATACTGGTTCTGTTGTGTCCTCCCTCTCATCAAAACCGAAGCACATCATTTGATTTGACCAGTGAATGTGCATCCCATGACCAGACGACTGAAGACCCCGATAGACTGACCGCTTAAATTCATTTGAATTTTTATTCATGCCAGCACATGTCTGGCAATGCTCTTTCACCATTTGGTACATGGTTGCGGATGTATGTCTTTGTATTATATCACCATAGGAAATATGGGCCTTTTTAATAAGATTTCTCCCTTCATGTGGGAATGTGGTGCACTGTGAGCTATAATATCCAGCAAAATAAACTCAAGTCTGAAAATTGCTCAATCCTCTGTGCCTAATCCACTCCAAGGCTTGTTAGTCATGATATATTCAGCCAGGACAAAGGACATCAGCAGGACTCCAGAATACATTTTCTGACAGTCTTTTGATATTACGCTTTCATTTCAGAACTTAAAACAGACAGCGAATAACTTTGATACGCCTGACATATTAAAACCTTCTTATCTATATAAACTTGGTCAATTATATCAACTGTTTTAAGTGCCTCAATCTAGTCTCTACGCCCCGTGTATGTTTTCCATTTTTAGTTTTTGGGCTTTAGAAGATGTCTCGTCTTGCTTGTTGTTTCTTTTGTTCATCTTAACTTTTATTGAATTCTTTGAAGACAGAAAATTTGAAAAAAATATATAAATCTCTATTGTGTGCACTGGGAGCATTCATTTTCACATCGTAATGGGCTTTTGTTCATCAGAGTCTTCAGCAGAGATAAGCCTATTTCAGCCAAGGCCTATACTAGGGAGTCTAAATCCACACTGACAGGTGGAACAAAAGACAACTGAAAGGACTGAATTGGGAAACATGAAGTTGTCCTCTAACACTTAACTGCAGCAGGATGTTTGAGACTTCAAAAAATATTGTAAAACATCAGTGTAATTCCCAATAAGACACTGAAATCATTTGAACATCTTTCTTTAGGAGCCCTAAATATAATAATAACTATTTTGACAACCTTGAGAATTAGCATTTTTCTGTAATCAGAAATTAATATCACTGATCAATGAACACATACAAAATGAACACCTCTCATTGAAAGCTTTTAATAGCTACATTTCTTCAACAATTCGGACACAAAACACTCGTACGTGTGCTTAACTGATTTAACAAATAGCTCTGGTTCATACAGTCACAGACCTGAAATGTCTTCTTTTGTTCCTCTGTCTGCTGAGCAGCTCCACATAGGCCCGTTGCTGAAGGGCTTCTTGTTTGTAGTTGCTGAGGAAAGGAAGAGTATTTTTCCTTCACCCTCCACACATTTCTAGCTGTTGAAGTGATTCAATTTACACACTTTCTGGTCACAGGACCTCTTTCTCTTGCATCACTAAAACCTTTTATTACTGCAGTTTTCTGTAAAAATGTTTGTGAATGTAGTTTTCAAATAGGATGCCTGTAGAAGTAGAAATGCAGTATCATTTGATATAGTGATACAAAGGAAAACATCTTTGGTTCGGTCACCTTTTTCCTAAGTTATCGTAATGCTAATAAAGCTTTACAGAATGTGTACTCACAGCTGTTTATGTGATGAAAAAAGTATTTCATGATAAACCTGACAGATCAGTGAAGTGGAATGTCTACAATGTCCTTGGTTTGTACCGATACCATTCCCTCCATGGTTAATGATGAAAAGTGATCTAAATAGTAAAATATGCCAGTTTTGAAACAAAACAAGCAAGTGGGTGCAGATTATGAGTTGTAGTTTAAGGTGTTGGATCCATAATCATCAGCAAATGCCCAATAGGCCACAGAATAAAGGGTTTAGAAGAGATTTGATGTATATACAGTATGTGTCTGCTTTACTTGAGTATATGTGATCCTGAACCTGTTCAGGGTTGACTGATGTGCAGTCACATCAGGCCCTGTGAGCCGCATCCGTTTGTAGACTGTGTTTTAAAGTTTGAGTTGTCGTGTCATAGTCCTCCTCTTTTGATTAATGAGAAGCTGTAGCTGCTGGTGGAGGGACTGATCTGATAACCCACACCAGCTGTCTGCAGCATTCATTCACATGTTCGATTCCCTTATTTCTCCTCATCTGTTGTGTCCTTCAGAGGTTAGATTCTGTCTTGATTTGTGTATGTTTTTAACCATAAAAGTGTCACATGCTGTTGCAAAAGGGATAATAAAAGGAGATAGAGTGAAGGGGACATTTTTGATCCAGTAAATCATTATGTTCATGTTTCCCTGTTTGGAAAACTGTTTCAGTGGAGTTCACCAAGCAGCCTGAACAGGTTAGAGCATATAAGGGTCATGATAGACCTTTACATTCATTTTAAATATACATTATAATTCTATGCACAAGAAATGTCTTAAACATTGCAGAAATTAAATATAGAAGCTCCTCAATATTATTTTTATCTGCTGTGTATAAAGCATACTTAACCACTTCTTCTTCTTCTTCTTCTTCTTCTTCTTCTTCTTCTTCTGCAGGAACAAATGGATGGCAAACACAAACTATCATGGCGACATTCTGCTTCGGCCAGGCCTTCTGGTGTCGAGGTGATGAGAGGGACGCTACTGTCACTGCAGCGTGATGTGTTAAATAATCGTGCGATGGAATCCTCGGTAAATGGACGTACTGCTGGAGGATGTGTGAGGAAGACAATCAAACTCAAGGTAAAACATGTAAATCAGCATTTTCTCTGTCTTCATTGTGAGGTTCTGAAACATTGTCAAGCTTCTCGAGTGGGAGAAATCTGATCTGTTGTGAGAATATTGAAATGCTATTGAAAATAACAAAAATGAAATGCAGCAGATGGCCGGAGAAAATAATCAATGCTGTGTTTGAGTATCAGGATGCTTAACTTGTTGCTGCCCAAAATCAATTTTGCCTCGAGGAAGCTGAAGTGCGTTGGGTCTTTTTCATGTTTCATCTTGCTGCCATAAGCACTGTGTATACGCTGCACACTTTAAACAGGTCTGAGCCGGCAATCCAGGTGATATGAGGAGACAGGGTGTGAAATATATATCCCTGCTCTTACTCCTGCTGCCAAATGGTTTGATGTAATTACATTATCAAATGTGTTTATGTTTTTTATGGTGTCCCATCATCCTTTCATCTTAGAGTCAGTAAAACGGCGTGGCTGCTCAACGACTGCATTAAAACATGAAAATTGACTGCAGCCTTTTATTGCTGCGTTTGGTCCTTTCAGTCTTTGTACAGTTAAGTCAAGTAATGACACGATCAAGTGTATCTGCTGCTAAAATGTTCTGTTGAGTGAAGCATTGTTGCATTGAATGTGTGTCTGAAAGCATCAGCACTAGTTGTTAACAACGTACGTATATAAAGCCAGACTGTTGCAGCTGTGTGTGCACGCTGTGTGACATGCTCTCAGCCAGAACAGTCGGAATAAAGATTTCAATGTTGTCTAATGGTGCAAAGTGGCATGTTGATGGCTCTTTGTAACACCACCGTGTTTATACAGAGGAGGCGTCACCGCTTAGTTTGGTTTTCACCAGAGATGTAATGGTTTTATTCATAAACACACCAAAACATGGACAAATATGTCTCCACGGCTGCAGCGTTAGCAGCTGGGAAACATACCAGTCAAACAGAGGAATGTTGCAAGCCATTGCAAACTCTTGTTACACTGAATGCATCCCAAGTGTTTGTGTTTGAGTGGTCATGTCACCGGTAAATATGACGCTTGAATTGGACCAAGTAAAAGGTCACTGCAGTATGTGTGTATATTGGAAACCAGCCATGCAATCCACTGCTTGCATATTGTTTGAAGAAACGTTGTTGATTACGACGTCATTGTGCGTGTTGTGGTAGAGACGGACAGTTCGATTTGTGGGCAGTTGTCCATTATGTGTTGCTGTAAAATATCATGAACTCAGGTATATGGAGTTTCCCTAAGTGTACTGCTTGTGTTTAGTGCTTTGTCAGCTGTTCTAGTGAAACTTCCTCGTGGTATAAGTCATGACTTAATGCAAAAGGTAAAATGTGTGTCATGGTAAGCTGATTTAACTGATCAAAGCACCAATCTGGTGCAGTCTTCGGTTGGGATGGAAACCTGCAAACAGACACTTTCCACTTTGAAACTGCATTGCATTTGAAATGCTCAAATAGCAAATGTGCATCCTATATGTCCCGAACATTGCACAAGAAGCCATGACCAGGGGCCTTTAAAGGGGCACTCAACAGATTTGACCATGGATGCATAAAGCAAAAAAAGCTCAACTTCTGAGTATAAAAGTCACATAAAATTATGAAAAAAAGTATTTTTTGAGCCAATGGCATCATGGGCGGACCCGGTATAATGATTCCACCGCTTGGCCACTATATGTAAAATTTGCTCCAAAGCCCAGCGCTCTTCCTGGGGGCTTGTATTTTGCACATGAATTCAGTTTACCCCATCACAAGGGGTAAACTGTTACCAGGCCGGTAAAACTGTTACCGGCCTGGTAACAGTTTTACAATGTCTTCTGTGGGTCTAGGGAGCTTTTCTGGAGTCTGATGATATCATGTTTTTATCTAAGGAAAGGGGCTCAGTTGCATTATGGGAAATGTAGGATGCAGCATTTTTGGAGCTTGATCCATACTAGGGATTAGAAATCAGGACAACTCTGCCTCTGCTGCATCAATGTTGTCCTGCAAGTCCACCAAGTTCATGGAAATACAACACCAAAAGATGGAGTAGCCTACACCTTTATTGTTATGTGGACTGTAGATCTGATAATTAATAATCAAATTTACATTACTGTAAACATCTTAATAATTTATAAACAGCATATAGGCACAAGGATGCCTATATGTACTTACTAACTTGTGATCCATATTAAATGCTAACAATAATATTGAGATTAATTATGTTGAATGCTTTGATTTCTTCCCCAAATAGAGGTTTGACTTAGGTTACTATTAAATATCAGCCAATATGCCAATACTATTTTCTATTTTTGATTATAAAATATAATGGTCTTTATGTTGAGGCATATCTAAGTGGGTTGCGAGGTTAAAAGCAAGAAGGGGAATGCCACCGCCTCATTTTCAAGATATTTATTCTAATTCTTGAGAGAGAGAGGGGAGACAAAAACAGAATCCGTGCACCACATGTAGCCAAACTAAACAGTGGTAATGTGTGTAGTGAACGGGCGAGGCGCTGTGCATCTTCTGCTGTGTGAGCCTCCGCTCCGCACAGACAGCGAGAGACAGTCATGGAGAGGTGGAGAGCGGACTGTTTTCTTTGTTATTTTTAAAGTCTTGCAATTTCGCAACTATGACACTGCTGGCGGTGACCCGTGCCGGTCCAAATGCCCGATGCACTCGAAAGCAGCAAGAAGATTTTCACCGGTTAAGTATATGTCACTTTTTTTTTCCTCTCCTCCCTCCCTCAGCTCAGAGATTGGGATTGCGGTAGTCGGGAGATATGTACCATCGCTTCGCTGCTTGTAAATCTATTCGGAAATCGGTGTGGGATTCCCTCCGCGTCCTATCACGGTGCGGGACATGTTTGCGGTCGCCCCGTTGTTCGCTTAGTTCAGCAGCTGTTAGCGGAGACAGTGCAGATATTAATAGGCGAATAGTGTGACAAAGTTGTGCACTTGTCGGTCGGCTGCTGAAAGGCCTGGCTATGCGTGTGTGTGCACGCGTGTGTATATGTGTGTGTGAGTGAGTGTTTGTGTATGTGTGTGTACGGAGTTTGTTTCTGGCTCCCCTCCCCCACTCGCCGCTGCTGTTCTGCTCGTTCTGGAGAGGCCAAGACATGAATGTGATGAGAGGGCTCACTTCAAACGGAACAAACGGATACAGTTTCAGGAGAAATAGGCACGTTTCCTGGCCTCTGCTCTGACCGGCTCAAATCACGCCTAAACCTTTTCTGCGTATTCCCGTGTCAAGCCACACACCTGTGACCGCACAACCGTTAAACGTCTAAATGAACGCGCTAAGCGAACACGTCTCGTGCCGCTGCATCGTTACGTACAGGTAGCTAGATGCCTGCTAGTTTACCAGGGGATTCATTTAATTACGTTGATAAAGCAAGCATGGAATGTGCTTGTATTTAAACATCCCACATTGTATTTTTCTATCGTTTTCCGTGCAGCACACCTGGCCTTGTCTGCTCCGTGCACGTGGTGCTCACACTTCAGGACTGCTCCGAGATGAAGGCACTGTTGCCAGTGTTGTCTCGGCTGTCTTTGTTCAATCAGGAGAATGAGTTGTATCTGTATTGGAAAAGACAAGAGAGTGGGTTTGCCCTGAAGGGAACGTGATGGCAACCATTAAAAAAATATTTATTTTGAAATCACAGTTAAGAGTAATCCCAGCTGTCAGCCTTTTATGATATAATACATCTCTTGTATTTAAAACCCCAAATCATTATTAAGAGGTAACAAGTGCACAGCGCTTAAAAAGAGGATTTTGATTGGTCAGAGCCGTTACTGGTCACCGTGGTTTAGTCCTGCGCTCATCTGTCCAGAAACATCAGCTGCTGCATGGATGTGTGAATTTAAACAGAGACAATTGGCTCTTTTTCTTTCTACGCTGGGGCTGAATAAGGGAATCAGCCCTGAAATGGTTTCTGACACTGTATCTGGGAAGCTGAATCACGAGCAGTGCGTGCAGTCTGTAGAGGTGGAGATGTACGCAGTACTACTGCTGTGTCTTTGCTCTGCAAGAAAGCTCAGGGACAGTGCACGAGGACAAGGACGTGTCCTTGAACAAATACATTAAATCCCCTAAAATCTGTCGGTACGCTACCCTGCAGCTGAACCCGCCCTGTGATGGCAAGGGAATGAAATACGGAGAGCACATGACACACGGATCAATACAGTATCGTGTGCCGTACTGCTCATGCTAATAGAGTTCAGTCTGTAAATCTCTAGTGTTTTCATTATTGTGATGATACACTTGGACTAATTTGGAATGTAATTGGAGAAGCTGTGTAAAGTATACATGCATATAAATCAGGATATTACTGCAAACTGCGTTATCACCACACTGTATTTATACTGCTGCCTCGTACAGTAGATGGCTGCCTTCAGGGCCAGACGGCGCTGAACATAAGCCACCACTCTTGGCTTGGATTACAACAACACTCGCACATAACTCACGAATGTGACTCAGTAATAGACTGTCACACCACTTCATAGAACAACAAACCACGTTATAGGCCAAATGACTCCAGCTGTCAGTTTCTGCTGAGGGTTGCAGATGTTACGCAGAACATGTGGTCACAGATCAAGTGCATTCACATTCTGTTTCACTGTATTCCTGTTTTAGCGCTTTTTGGGTTGATCTCATCACTAATTTCCACAGCTATTCTATTCTATTGGTTCCTTATATCACATTTAATTTCACTGCACTGTAGTTGCCAGGAAAGTAATAATTCCTCACATTGGAGTGTAAACGGTCAACATTACAGAATGTGCTGCATTCACAGACGAACCTGCAGCGACTCTCTGCTGCTGGAGCGTTACACTCGCTCGTTTCACATTCAAAACTCCTCTGCATTTCCGCAGACATTGCATTAATTTTAATGTTCAGCTGGAAACTGGCCACATGATTAAAATGCAAACTGTGCAAAATTAAAAAAAAAAATCCTGAGAGGTATTAGTCCTCTTTCAAACGGGCGTATGCCGATTATGACACATAATAATTGATCAACCTTTTCTCAGCACTAGATCTGCTAATGTAAATGTACTTGTACTTCGTTTTCAGCACTTGAATGAGTATTAGACTATCTTCCCTGTCATGGCTAGCACCACTCTACCTGTCAGTGATGTGATAAAGCTGCGTCTCATTATATATTTTTCCTCCTTGCAGGAGTTTTTGTGCAGTGGCATAAGTAGAGGTCTGGATCTGATAGTTGTGCAGTGCGGGCTCTACGGACACGTGGTTTATGGATGCTGGGACTATGAGCATAAGCGACAACAGGGACTACACAGCAGACCTGGGCGGCAGCTTCACTGAGGATGCTCCTCGACCTCCAGTCCCAGGGGAAGAGGGCGAGCTGGTGTGCAGTGATGGACGCCAGTACAGCAGCCCGGGCTTCTCCTCCAAGAGCGAGAGCCTCAAATGTGAGGCGTCCGTGGCCACACCCAGGCGACCCGACTTGGACCTGGGTTATGAGCCGGAGGGAAGCGCCTCGCCGACACCGCCCTACGTGAAGTGGGCAGAGTCTCTTCACTCCCTCCTGGACGACCAAGAAGGCATCCATCTGTTTCGGATGTTCCTCAAGCAGGAGGAGTGCGGCGACGTGTTGGACTTCTGGTTCGCGTGTAGTGGCTTCCGTAAACTTGACGCCATCGAGGGTAACGAGGAGAAGAAGGTCAAACTGGCAAAGGCGATCTATAAGAAATACATCCTGGACAACAATGGGATTGTTTCCCGACAGATCAAACCAGCCACCAAGTCCTTCATCAAAGACTGCGTCATGAAGCTTCACATCGATCCTGCGATGTTTGACCAGGCTCAGACTGAGATCCAGACGATGATGGAGGAAAACACCTACCCCTTATTTCTGAAGTCTGACATCTATTTGGAATATACTCGGACAGGAGGAGAGAGCCCGAAGCTGTACAGCGATCACAGCTCTGTGTCTGGGAATGGAAAGGGACTGTCCAGTTATTTGCCGACTTTGATTGAAGATGAGGAGTGGAGGTGTGACCAGGAGCCCGAGGAGCAGCCCGAGTGTGACCCCACGCCGAGCAGCCGGCTCACCCAGAAGCTGCTGATGGAGACGGCACCGCAGCGCGTCGCCAACAGCGCCAGGTTCCAGGACGGTCACGAGTACAGGTAAATCTAGAAAGCCTCACTTCAGCTCCAAACTGCACCGCTGTCCCCTCTGCAAACTGCTGAATTAGAAATAAACCTGAAACCCCACAATACCAGGAACGCTGCTTGAAGTGTGAGATGAAAACGGGAGTCTGAGTATCACAGGAGACAGCGGAGATGAGAGGAGGATGGTGTGTTTACTCTGATGTGTTGAGGAAGTGTCAGAGGCTGCAGAAGTTAACTTGTGAGAAGGTTGAAGTCGGGTGCTCTGGTTTTATCTTGTGCAGGTACTCTGATAATCCTGTTTTCTCATTGGACAGGGTTGTGTAGGGAAGAAGTTCAACAGGATTTAGTTTTAGGAGGAGCTTTTAATATGCACATTTTCTGTTATATTTCATTTGCTACACTTTTGTATCAGAATCAATATGCAACAGCAGATTGCTGTGCTGGTAAACACTGGAATGTATCAGTGTGATGCGTGTAGAAGCATAATTACAGGACTGTAGATGGATATTCAATGCTGAGTTGTTTTTTGATTCAGCGGCATAAACGCTGAGGTTGCAGCTGCCAAACAGAAGGACTGGCGTTTATGCCGCTCCTTTTATTTAAGCCATAATTAGTTTGGCATGTTACGGGAATGTCTCTGCTGATTATTACATGATGGGACAGTTAGCAGAAAACCTGCTTATATATAGAATGTATATTCACAGAAGATATTTGGACATGTCTCACTCACATTAATAATGCATGGTGACACCTGTATGAGTGAAGCCGCTTGATGCTGAAAAAGAGTGTTCGTGGCATATCTGTCCTGAAAAAACAGACTAACACTTGATTTCTGCTGAATGTGACTTTTGTAAACAAAGGTCGCAGGTAAAGTTTGCCCTAATGTTATATTATATATAAATATATTGGAGCTGCCATATATTTAGAAAATGATCTCTAGCTTGAGTGTTCTTCGGTTGCACTGGAGAGCTGTTTGGGACGTTCTAGGCATTTACTTTGAATCTGTCTAACGCTGATCAGACATCGCGTTTTCATTGATCTTGTATGTTTTCTACTCCCACCACACATTTTAATCTGCCTTTCTGAAACTTTCATGCTCACACTGTTTATCGGATCAAACACTGAACGTAGTCACAGAACCCCCGGTCTGTCTTTACATCAAGTTTATTAAAATCAAGATGTCTGGATCCTCAACTATGTTTACTAAAAAAGAGAGAAAGGAAGCATTGCTTTGTGCAATTCTACTATGAGTGTAAAGTAAGAAGAAAATGCAGATTCAGACAATACGATGTGTGCTCCTCAGTTCAGTTTTATATTATTATAGCAGTCTCAAGACTACAGCTTTAGCCACATCATGTGGAATACTACTCAGATAACATTAAAACAAGCTCCCTGCAGTTCATAACGGATATTTTACGCCATGCGGGAAATCAAACAGCCAACCAAAATCTCTGACATGTCACAAATCCATGTGCTCATGGAAATTAAACTGGAGTTGTGACCCCCCCCTCAAATCTGCAGGTCAAATGACAGAGACTCCATTCTAAAATGAGTTGGGCCGACCAACTCAGAGCTAAAATTGGGCTTAATCCGTACAGTGTGTGCCCAGTTAAATACACACAGCAGCCGGTAGAATGGTTAACTCTAACACGCTCTGAGTAATCTGACTGTGGATGCTCGGCGCTCTGCGTACTCGTGATGCTCCGGCATAAGAAACTGTAATCATGTTAAACAAACCAGGAGTGGCTTAGCATCGTGTGGGTCAAGTGTCTTTGCAAACTAAAGTGTAACAATGACAGATCAGATGAAAACATAAGTGATTGATGGCGACCACAACTTAACTAATGTCACCGCTGATTTCAACTTAAAGCTCATTACATAATACGGTTACATCTTGAACGGAGGATTAAGGCCACAAAAACAGAACATGTTGGGGGTCGGGAAAGAACAACGTGTTCTGTCAGTGTTGCAAACTGGAACCCAAAAGTGGAATTCAAGATCCTAATGTCTGTGCTGCATTAATGTTGGTCCTCAACGGATTCATTGAAAGTGACGTCGCTGTGAGACACTTTCTCATAGTTCACCTCTACCGCTGCAGCAGCAGTGAGATGAGGAGGGACAGGAGCTCATCAGCTGACAGATAAGAGCGTCTCTGTGACTCAAACACTGACCACGCTGCAGCACAGCCGGTGGAGACCAAACACATCCGACCCGACACAGACGTGTTGGCGGCAGACCTTTTCCTTCTCGTTCTGTGGTCTAGTCTTGTGTTGGATTTCGCTCTTCAGTGTGTTTGCAAGCAGCTTTTTTTCTGGTTGATATCTGCAAAATGAACCCGATGCTTGTTTGTGTTTGATTTCTTCTTTTTCTTTGAGAAACATAACCAAAAGGCATTTGTCATTGAGATCAATGTTTTCTTGAAATCCCCTCAAAAATATAAATAATATAAGAAAAATACAGTTTTAATTGGAGAGTGAAACGCATTTTTGAGCGTTTTTTCCGCATCATTATTTCAGCAGTCAAGCATTTGGCTGGAATTACAGAAATGCACGCTTCATTTTTAAAAAGCCTTTTAGCAGCACCCGTCGGGTTTTTATGGGGACTAAATTTTGCATCAGTTGTGTCTGACGATCTCTTCAGAGACGAGCAACAAAAGGCATTAAATAGTCTTTCACATCAACTTTTAGCGATCGGAGGACTTGAAAGGGAATGACCTATACATTCATTAATGTTTGGGGAGAGTTTAGAAGTGTGAACGGCTCAGTTTTGTTCTTGTTCAAGTGCGTCGTGCACTTCAAAGGAAGACTTTGTTGTCTTTGTAATGTTTCCTTTATTTCTGATCTTTTGAGGCTGGAATGAAATAATATGGATGAACAATTGTGTTATTGCTAATAATGTTGGGTAATAATTTGAGTTTGGAGTCTGACGTTTTTTTTTTCTTGAGAAATGAGAAATGTTCTCGTATCTGACGGCATGAGAGGGAGACGGGCAGGTTAGAGGAGACATGAAGGGAGAAGGGAGGGCAACTGAGGACACCATGGCCAGTAGCATCAGAACCTGCACGTAGGAAACATGTTCAACTCAACTCAGCTATTTTACTGCAAGTTAATTCAATGACAATATGTTCAGGCTCTCTTGATGATTGGAAACTTGTTATTTTATTGCTGTTTTATTGTACATCAGTTGGAATAAAGACATCTATGCACAGTATTTTATCATGTTCACAAGAATGCAAATATAAGAATTTGAAAGCAACATGATACAGAATCAGTTCAGAAATCCGCTTATTTATCAAGTGATGTACTGTTGTTATTATTCTTGGTTATGAGAAATACATTCTTTGGGGTGAAGGAATCATCTCATCTGTCTTTCATCTAATGAAGGATTGAATTCATGTTTGCTTCTTTCCCTCTTCATTCTTTCTCCTTCAATCAGAAATGTAGAATCTCAACTGAAAGCTGGTTTTCTGTGTGCTGCGCTCTTTGTTCGTGCCGGCTCCTCACCATCCTGCCTCTGTAATTATTCACTGTTGCTGAATGCAGATGCTAATAAAAATCCAGTTGGTCACAAAGGTTTCATTTTGAACTCTGGGTGCTTCTGCATTCCAAACAGGGAGAAAGCTGCAGGGAATTCCAATTTGAATAAAACGAGATGATGCCTAACATCTTTAATTCATGTGTTCAAAGCCCCGCAAGAAGTGTGTTCAGCAAAGTCAATGACTGAGAGTGTAGAAGGTGGACGGATGAAGCTTTCCCGTGTATCTGTGGACGCTCGTGCAGGGTGAGCCTCCGAATAAGACCTGCAGTCATACTCCAGCGTTCAATACTCAGGGATTGGATTTGGTGTGTTCACAAAGGCTGTTGTAATACTATTAAATCCGGTGTAGCAGTATATGCTGGCAGTATACTTTCTCTGGCCGTAGGTTCACTCGTATTACACCGAACAGAATCAAGAGAAGTTGAAGGAAGCGGCAGAGCCTGAAAAGTGTATGTGTCCTAATTCAGGATTATACCAAAGAGCTGTGTGCCGGCTGTTTACAAATGCATTTTAACGAGCATGTCAATCACTTCATGATCTGTTTTATTTTTCTCAGCATTTCCTCTATTTTTATTTTTATTTCTTCCAGGAATGCTCCATGTCGGGAGCCCATCAACCCGTACTACGTCAACAGTGGTTATGCTATGGCTCCGGCCACCAGCGCCAACGACAGTGAGCAGCAGAGTATGTCCAGCGACGCCGACACCATTTCCCTCACAGACAGCAGTGTGTATGTATTTACTCATCTCACACACACACATACACACACACACACACACACACACACACACACACGTGTCGTGCTTTAAGTTATTTTACCAGGTCATAAAGACTATGCAAGGTGGCATTATTGGCTTGAAAGACAAAAACAATAGTATACTAAGGATCTTCAGTTGTTAAAAAGTAAAGCATGCCATGTATGTTTAGCGTTGCTCAGAAACACAGGAATGAGGGTTAAATTGGTTTCAAAATGTCACTTCTTGTCTGTTTTTACCTCCGCTCGACCTTCGGGATCGGATAAGCCGCTAACTGAGCCCCATCTGCTCATTAGCCAGTTAGCCATTAACCAGTAAACGCTGTTAGAATTGATCTCTAAAGCTAATTAGTAAGACATTTAACCATGTGTGAATGTACATAAATGAAAATACTCACCTACTGACCTCTTTTACAAATGGGACACATAAACCACTTTGTTTGGGCACAAGCATGAGACCGAGGGCAATGTTCTGTCCCATCTGAGATCACTTGCGAACAGGACTCTTATATCAGTTGAGTGTGTAGACCCGGCATGTGCTGGTGAAATTTTTTAGAATTTAAGAAATGATGTTTTCTAGGTGCAAAGATGGCACCGGGGGAATTATGCCAAAGAAACTTCAAAGCTTGCACAACTGGACATGAATGTGTTTGAAGCCGAATGGATTAGAGGCAGTTATCAGCTAATTGGTCCAGAGCTTCCAGCACAGCAGAGTGTGAAACCCAGCATGACCAATACCACATGGAATTACAGACGGATGGATGTGTTAACATGTAACTGTAATCTGCCAGACCACTTGTGGTGCAGCAGGAGGGACACAATAAGCCTGTGAGGACGCCTGATTAATCAAGAATTACAAGGTGGTCGTTTTAGGCAAAAAAAAAAATGCGATGGGAAGCTTTCAACTTCAAAGCTGTCTGTGTTGTTTATTCATGAGGATGTTTTATGAAAATGTCTTTGTTGTTAATTCCAGAGACGGGGTTCCACCCTACAGATACCGTAAACAGCATCGCCGGGAGATGCACGAAAGCGCCAAAGCAAATGGGCGAGTGCCACTACCTCATATTCCAGTGAGTTATTCATGGGTTCTCTCCCTTTCTGCCTCCACACCTCTCTTTAACTGTCTGTCTCTGCCTTATTTCTCTCCGCTGCACCATTGGAGATGTGCATATTTAAGCTCTGCTATGTCGCAGGGCCTGTGATGGAGTGTAAGAATAGCTGATGGTGAAAGAGAAGGCTGTCTAAATGTAGCTTGATGCCCTCCTAAGCTGTGAGCGCTGAAGCCGAGCAGACATGGATCCTCCCCCCTGTGACAGCCCGATGCCTCCCTCTGCAGCTTACGCTGTCTCTCGGTAGGAAAACCCCGGCCCTAATTAGGCCTCGGAGTAAAGAGTCAAATTAAAACTCCCCACGTAGCATCCTATTAGGATGCATGATTTGACTGTATAGTAGAGCACAAATCCCTCAAGCACAACTCTAACGTTTCCCTGCCCCAACAAATGAATCATGACTTCGGCAATAAGAAAATTGACAGGGCTTGTGGGCCTTTTTAGTTTAAATGTCACTTTGTTTTCCAACCTTCTCACAGCTTTGTATTGTCATAATTGCAGTGACTGATGGAAATAAAATGTTCCTTGTGTCCTCATTAAGGACGGTACGTGTGCCATTCAAAGTTAGCGTACACACTCCCTAGTTTATCTTCCCAAAATGATTTTGAAATGTAAAATAAAAAAGTTATCTTTAAATCCAGGTTGAATTCTTTTTGCCGTAGAGCCGCTTACCAAATGGATATATAGTAGATATGTTAAACGTATGTTCAGTTAAAGGTTGCGGGGTGATACATTGTTGATGGGAAGTGTAGCTCAAACCTTCATTTTATAATCACACAGGAGTCATGGGACACTTATAGAGTTTATAACAATGGTTAATAAGCATGAGCACTGCACATTGTAGAAGATATTTAAATAAAACATCACCATATCAGAAAGGATCAGCTTCAGGGATATACTGTATTACTTCCTCATGGGATACGTTATTGATAAACTGGCACCAAATATCAATATTTTTATTAAAACATTAATATTTTGAAACAGATGAAAATAAACTAGTTAGCTCTGCTAGCGTCTTTAGCATTGAGGTGGCTGCTCCAAACCCACAGTCTTACCTTAAATCCCACAAACAAGAGTAATGGAAACACTAATGTTCCTATTCTCACAGTTATGTTCCTCCGTATACAACCGGCCGAATACAGCCTGGAGTTTATGTCATCACAGTCAAAGTGTTTCGTCTCTTTAACAACAGACGGTGAGAGTTAGTGGCTGTGCTCTCAACCGTTATTTCAATATTACATCGAGTGAGTTTAATAACTCGGCCTGTCGTATATATGTATTAATGCCAATCCTCCGGCTTTAAGGGGGCGCTCGCGGTTATTGCTCTCGTTGATATATATTCAAGGTTATTTCTAACTCTGCATTGTAACCATAGCAACCGCTCACCACTTCCTCTTTTATTCAGCATCAGACACAAACAGACCTCTGGCCTTTCGTTTCTTTGTCGAGATGGATTTGCGTGTATGAAAACAACTGGTTTGTCTTTGGGCCTCACGACAAACCATTTAGTAACGAAGCAGTTTGAAGAAGCAGACACACACATCATGAAGGAGTTGTCCATTTAGGTTGGAAAGGTTTTAGTGAAGCTCATTCGTGTCATTTAAACATTTTAAGCCCAGAACAGTTTTCTGGCCGTTTTTGCCAGTTTCTGGCTATTTTACATTAGAAGTTTCAGTTAAAGAGAAACTAAGCTAAGACTCTTTGCTCTTTGTATTACATTGTTTCATCTAAGTTATGCATAATTCCTGCTCTTTAGGGGTATTTCTTCTCTCTTCAGTTACACACACATATCATAAATGTATCCTAGATGGTTGTCTTACGCTGTATTGTGGACAAGGAATCATGATCGTGTCGTGAGTTACTCTGAGATCCCCACCTCTGTTCTTAGGTGAAATCTTGTTGCAGGTTCATTTAAATTCAAATGTATCATCCCTGCTGATGTTTTACACTTGACACCAACTTCTTGAATGTTTCCTGCTTCATATGCTCCCCGACAGGATGCAAAGGGTCGGCTTGGTAAAACTGCCCATAAGTTGTTGACAGTGAGTGGCAGAGAGTGCTTTACAGTTTGACATTTCTTCCCCCAGCGCACAAACCGGATTCCTAAAGATATACACGTGGAGCCGGAAAGATTTGCTGCAGAGCTGAGCAGCAGACTGGAGGGCGTTCTGAGGGAGAGGGAGGCTCAAGAGAAGCTAGAGGAGCGGCTGAAGAGAGTACGATTGGTACGTTCAATTTATTCACAGAACCATTCTCTTCTGTTTAAAGCACAAGCAGATCCACTGTTTGGTTGATTTGGTTGTTGCTTCAGAGGTTCACATTGGAGAGCTGTGTCTAGACTAAAAAACCTCCAACAGTTGAGGCAGTGCAGGGAAGGAAAAGGAACACGTGCTATGATTCTTGTGATTCTGAGTTACACCATCAAGTCATATGAGGCCGTGACACAGACAGAATACGATTATTTGCCAGATTGAAAAGAACTTTAAAGTTTGGATCCCCAACGAAAGGTTTCATCAAATTATTTTCTAGATTACGTCACAGTGAAACTTTCCGATGGTATCTTCAAATTCCTTATTTCACATGGCAAAAACAGGGAGGCTTACTTTCATATATAACAAAGAAAAGCAGCAAATCTTCACATTTTGACATCCTTGAATCAGAAAATGTTTGATTTTTGCTTAAAAAATTACTGAATCAATTATCAAAATAGTTAGATTCATTTTCGAACCAACGGTTTGATTACTTGAATAAAAAGCTCAAAAAGAGCAGTTTGTATTATATTGTCAACATTTATATTGAATATTACATTTAAATCCTGCTCTAGTTTTTGAGTTCTCGGACTCCTGGTTACGCTGTTTTGAGTGAACATATTCTGCTTATGAGGATTTAAATTGAGTTATTTCCAAAACTCTTGATTTCAAGCATATCCCCTGTTTTGTCAGGTCTGTGTTGAGAAGGAAACGGCGTGCCTCAATGAGATCACCTGTCTAAATAAAGGTTCAATTCAACATTCTACGAAAGCAGCAAACAGTAGCCGACTCTGTTTCATAGCCTAGTCACAACTGCAAAACACAAGCCTGACAGAAGAACCGTGCAAAAGACTAAAAGACTGAGAGAGAACCAAGAACTCGAGTTTCCAGTTTAAATAAGTAAATATATATTTTCATTCTTTTGGTGTCTTATTTTTTCTGTTTTGTTTTTACCTAAGTTTACATTTGGACCACCAAAAATGTTCTTTGGCCAACAAATGCCAGAAGGGCCCGTGCTCATCTTTCCCTGCAAAGGATTTTTCACCTCAATACCTTTGCTTTACTTTAAGAAATAGAATTAACTGTGACCACAGATAGTGTTTTAAACAGCCGACCAGTAGAATCAATATTAGTAATGTGTGCGAGATGCCACCAAAGCTCATGTCTGAGCCAGGAAGCGGGATGCGTGTCTGGCCGTTGGGCTTAAAGTTTTCAGCAACAAAGGAGACTTAAATCCGACTGGCCTTAATGAAATTAATGAGGCCAGCCATTTGAATGGGGAATAAAAAAACATTATGAATCACTTGGAGAATTCCATGCCTGGCCTGTCAGCGATCTGGCTTTGTCGATGAATCAGATGGAGCACCTGCACACTCGGCCACTTGTAAGCCCGGAACAGCGTGTCGCCCGTTTGATGTCACTTGAACGCTGATGAAATGGTTGCTGCTACCACAAATGAAATCCCCCTCAGTACGCAGACCCCGAGTACCTAGTCTCAAGGCAGACCGTTCTGTTTGTGGTTTGGCCCTAAAAGGAGAGGATCTTCCATCACACAGCTCAGGGTTTGCTTTATTAAAACCTGGAGGCAAGCATGAAATGTCTGCCTTCATCAAGTGATGCTCAAGTGAGCACCTAGAAAAGGAAACGTTTTAACAGTAAAAACAGATGTATTGAAATTGTATGTTTATAATGCATTAAATATAACGGTTCAAATTGTATGTTGGTATGAGGCAAAGACCCACATGACTTCAAGAGGTTGTGAGTCACTTCACTTATTGCCATAACTCTGTTAAACTCTGCTAAGAATGAAATCACGGCTTCACTTAACGTCATTTCTCAGAACAATGGGCTGTGTGGCTCAGCTCAGCGCGGGATGATTCACACGCACAAGCAGCAGCATGCTGTTCATTTAAAGCAGATCAATGACAGAAAGACTCACGTGACGGTCGCTGCCTGTCTGGATCTTTATTTTGGTGTTAACAAGACAGCAGAGCATGTGACCGTGTGTGTGTGTGTGTGTGTGTAAATGAGCTGGTGGAGATCGTCAGTGAGTCCCCATCCAGCACCTAAGCTAACTTGTAGAATGTCAGATATCTGCTGCTGTTTGCCGACGGTTTTCATTTTCAAATGGAAAGGAGGGAGCCGGTGGAACAAATGCTTCCATGAATAACTTTCAGGGGGCTCAGATAACACGGATATCTGGATGTGATGCAGAGATACAAAGACGCATCAATTATTAAAGACGTGCCAGAAAATATTTGGCTGCATACGGCATCTTTAACATCATGGCTGAATTTAAGAAAGGAGTCGGTAGAGGGAAGGTCCGTTCATGCGGTATACTAATACAGTTATTGCAAATGGATGTTGAGCTCAGAACAACAGCAAACATGTGAAGGTTTATTTTATTATTAACATAACTGACATCAAATTCTTGGGCATGGGCGGTCTTAATAAATAGAAGTGGAACCCCTTCTGTTGTCCCACTCGATCTCTTTGTTCTCCTTTCTGAAGGTTCATGTCTTGATGGGGAATACCGCTGAATGTAGTTTGCTAAATTATTTGTGATTCATGTTGTTTGTCATGTGAAAGAAAGACATTTTGAGAAATAGAAAATAGATTTACAGCTCCAATAAGTACAATTTAGGATTACATTTTTAGATTTTGTTTTAGTAATGATGGTGTGAGGTCCTTGTGTCACGATAACTACTTTTGTCAGACAATATATTGTCCCTGAAAAAATTGTGACAAATGACGTTATTGTCATTTAAAAGCATTTTATGCAACTGATATAATAATATAATTGCATAATAATGCGAGTACGACCTTTCAAAGAGCAATGAACCATCAATTCTTGAGAAGATTCAGACATTGGACATTGAAATGAGTACAAAATACAAAAATATTCGAAATAAATAAAACGTAAAACAAATAAATCCACCAAAACAATAAATAATTTGCACTCTTGGGCTCTTTCAACAAAAATGTGCAACGTCTGCACAATGTCCCAGTCTTGATGATCGGGTAAACCCGGCTGTTTGTTCTGGCTTCACGTCGGCTGAAACATTGGTGACATTCGTACGTAAACGAACACAAAGGGCAATATCGAGGTCGGCAAAAATGATTGAGGTCATGCTCATACATCATATGATGTCTTTAACATGTATATCTTGACAGGCCGAGCCATAAGGAGTACAGCCATTGCCATTTTACGTGACTGAATTTCTCCAAACACTGCTGTGTTTTATTCCATCGCTGCACATCCACATCCACTCTCTACAGCCTGCTTATCAGAAGCTGTTGTGAATGCCTGCAGCACCCCACGACTCCCCCTGGAGCAGATTCTGTTGGAGCGTGATTTTGTCCTGGTCAACCAGAGCTGAAGCTGTTATCAATAATTGCACTTGTCCTCGTGTGAAACAACACAAATGTGCTGCGTGCATGCACGGCTCCCTCAAATCTGACCGATACTGTCCAAACCTCTGCAGTAAGAATGAGAAGACACATAGCAGCATGTGGTGAAATCTGCCATCTGCAGGTGGAAATAAATACAGCAGACGCAGCCTTCTGAGAAAACAAACTCCTCACTTGTGTCAAATGTGTTCAGAAATAAGCTGTTCAAAGAATTGAATAAATTAAATGCATATAGATGTATATTTTTTATGGCTGATGGACATATGTTTCTTTATATCTTTATAACTTGTATTTCATTATGTTTTGTTCTGTGTGTTTGTTGTTTCTACAGGAAGAGGAAGGTGATGAAGTCATGTCCACAGCCGCAGCGTTATCCAGTCACAGGTTCCCCCCTGGTGCTTATCCGCAGAACTACAACTCACGCTTTGCTGACAACGCCTTCAGCGGTCCTCTTCTGAGAGACGCTCACGAGGAGAACCCGGAGAGCATCCTGGACGACCACGTCCGGCGGGTCATGAAGACGCCCGGCTGCCAGTCGCCGGGCACAGGCCGCCACTCTCCCAAGTCACGCTCCCCAGACGGCGTCCCAGGGGCAAAAGGGACGGGACTTGGTACGGCGCCTGGGAAACATCCATCCAGGCACGGTCTCAAGGGAGACGGCGGCCACCTGTACCACCACAAACACATGCACCACACCCACCACGCTGGCGTCGGGAAGCCCAAAGAGCAGGTTGAGGCTGAGGCGGCAGTGCGTGTGCACGGCAACTTCCCCTTGAGCACGGAGACGAGTCATTACGGATCAAAGTCTCGCAGCTACGCAGATGGCATGGGATCCAACTCCACGGAGCACACAGGCCACAGGTAAGCAAGCGCCAAGCGTTAAGTTCCCTCTTTCTCGTTGATGCACCCCACAATGCTTTTTGCTTTTTCTACCTACCGGTTGTTTTCCTGCATTATACAGTAGCAAAGGTGGCACACAGTGCAAAAGGCCGTTCAAGAAAGGCGAGGAGGTGCGGCCTTGTGACATGCCAGCGCCTGCAGAGGAGATGGAGAAAAACCAGAAGATCCTTTTGTGGCTGATGGAAGGACAGAAAGAAATGGTTCAGCATAAGAGGAGTCCATACGGGTCAGTGACACTTAACTGACCAAGAGGAACAAATGCACTTTCTTAGAATGCTCTCGCTTTGTTTAGTTTGATTGCTGATATTCAAAAAGTCCTGACTTTACATTTTAGGAGTACCACTGGGTCCAAGAGGACCACCAGCCACGAGGCTCAACCGTGGAACACCGTGCAGCCGTCGCACCCTTTCATCCAGGATCCCACCATGCCCCCGAATCCAGCTCCAAGCCCCCTGATCCAGCTGGAAGAGGTGCGCCGGCGGCTTGAGGAGGAGAAGATCAAGTCTGGAACTATGCAGCCCAAGCAGAGGTAAGTGGACGGACATGTCCCATTACCACAGTTATCTGTCCAGTTAATCGGTGCAGCTTTTCAACGGAATCTATTTAACTTGATCCACAGACGAAGAAGCCGGATTTATCCTTCAAAATGAAACAGTTACCCTTTTGTTCTCCAGCCTGTGTGCTCCTTGGGGCCGCTCTGTGTCTAACTACTGGGGTTGTTCGGTCCCTCAGGTACGTGATGGAGGTGATCCAGAGGGGTCGCACCGCCGTCAGGCCTGCCCTGTTCCCTCCGCTCAGCATGGTGCCCGCCGTCTCTGACAGCGAGCTCTCCCAGCCCGAGTATGTCCACCGAGTCTTACCACTAACTTTTCCCACTATCTCCAAATTCCCCGTAGGCTACGTCCACCCACTTCACTCCCCATTCTCATTACCGGTAGTTTAGTTACCCAGGACTGTGTGTTTTTGTGGCGCTACTAAAGGAGGCATTTAAGAATCTGTAGGAGCAATTCCTTTCCCTATTTCCCTCCTCTGTGTGTAGTGTCATCATGTAGTCTCCCACACTCTGTCCTTGAGTCTGTTTGAATGTGCTCTCTTTAGTTATTCCTTTGTGGCAGGTGCTATTTTGCATTTAAAGCGGTTTTAACTGTTGACCTGCAGCCATTTATGATTTTAATAGACAGCCGGCAGTCAGCGAGAAAATACTTTTTTCAGTGTCCGTGGTAGAAACTGAATTATTTCTCCTCCCTGTCATGAATAACTAGGATCAGACCTGATGGTAGAAAACAGATCAGATCTCTTGCTGGGTATTTCCCGTGAAGATCAGAAAGAGGATTGCAGAGGAAGTTTATGATTTCTGTGTTCTCGCAGAGGCAGAAGTATCGAGAGGAGAGCGTCGGCTTCTTGATGTGTTCTCAGAAACATTGTTCTGTTTGATGTTTAACTGCACTCTTAACAGACGGAGGGAGCAGTGGAACTGTGTAAGAGGCAGATGAAAGGCAGAGTATGTGGCACCGGCTCCGGTCAGACCTGTTAAGGGCTGGGGTTCAGGACTTGTGAGCCTGGTGGATCACGACCGACTAGACCTGTCAGTACCTCCAAGCCCGCAAAGGTCAGAAAAAGATAGCTGACAGATTGGAATTTGGAAAAAAAAGGATGTTTGCTCGGAAAGAGGAAATGGTGGTTTAGTTTTGCGTTACAAAAAAAAGAGAATACAGAATAAAAATGTCTACATTTGCCCAAAAAGGTCAGATATTAGAATTTAAATAGCAAGACCAGCAAAACATACAAGTAAAGCACGGTAACTTTATAAATGTAGTAATAGTAAAATACATGTGCATCTGAAACAGTATCTTGATCACTCTCCGTCCGACTAGCCTGTTGTGTAACTCGTAATGTCTCCACTGATTCATTTACTTTCCAGTGACGAACACAGATGCACTTATGTGGTTGTTGAAGTTCGTACAAACGTTCTCGGGCTAAACACATTTGGGATCCCGAAGGATAACATTATCTCATGGCACACCCAGAGGCTGCTGGTGAGGTCGTCATCTCAGGGCCTCTCCCACTCAGAGGACGTCCTGAATACAGAGTGCACCAGTGACTTCAACTGCCGTCTGGCTCTCTGATAATTACCCGCATCCGCAGACCTGCCCAGCTGAAAATACTTAAATATATAGTCAGCCCTGCAGAGATTTCTGGGTTCAACATTGTTTGGTTTTGACACATCTATCGATAACCTATCAGCTGTCAACTCTTTTTCCATTCTGATTTATTTTCTGTCAAAGAAGAGAATAGCTCACGTTTTCTATCTGTGAATTTTTAGTTTAGTTTTATTTTCCAGCTCCACTTCAGTTCATCTGTGTCCTTTTCACCTGCTCGTCCTGTTGTTCAGCGCGTTATTTTAGTCTTCTATCTATATCAGCTGTCCTCAGAGAGCCTCGGTGTTGTTTCCTCCACAACGGATTCTTGGAAGAAGCTGTTTTTTGTTCACTGGTTAGCAGTCGGTCGGCAGCAGGATGTTAGTCCGTGTTGTTCCTCTCTTCACTCGGTGCTTGGAACTGCTCACGTTGATTAGAGAGTTCGACCTTTTAAGATGCACCGTATGAAATGACATCCGTCCTCAGCTGGTCTTAAGTTTCATCAGAAGGTTAAGTAAACACCTTCACAAAGTGCAGGTCTCACTGTCGCTAGAGACGGCTGCTTGTTAGTGTCAGGAAGTTATTAAGTTTAGAATCATCAACAATTTCTAGGATACCTTTTTATATAAAATAAATCCTCACAGCTTTGATGTGTGGACTTGAATGATGGGTGAACTTACTTAAATATCCTCAACCGGTTTCTGTCTTTTCCATTTGCAGACACAAAGCCACTAAAAAGCAGCCGTGTGAGAATATTACTGTCGCGTATTACTTCTGCGAGGAGCTGATACCGTACAGGACGTCTGTCAGAGGGAGGGTCGTCTCGCTGGGCCAGTTCAAAGAACTGCTGACGAAGAAAGGAAACTACAGGTGAGATCTGTGGTGCTGTTTGATGTCTCTGGACAGAACTAGAGGAGGCTTTACACCTAAAACATGAATTTATTCTTCAATAATCAGTATGCAGGATTGTAGTAAGATTGTATTTTCTATAACACAACCTGCTTTGAGACCGCAAAATAATACAACGTTTTGAGTCCTTAAAAAATGTGTTAAATAATAGTGTCAGCTGGCTTGTATAGATCACACTCATGTGTTGATGGGGCTCCGGCTGTGCCTCTTAACGCTGACCTCATAAAGAGGTATTATGATTAAAGTTCAGGATTTTCACTCGAGTGGTTTTTACTAAAGAGATGGCCGTAACACTTTTGTGATCATCTTTGAGTGGATGGAATTGAATTGAAACTGTGAAAGGCCGTAGTTCTGTTTATTATAGGGGCACGATGAATTATAGCGTGATTAAAATGATATAACTAAGAGTATATAACACAGTGATTGGCCAATATTCACCAATATCTTCCTGAGTTTGTTCTTGAATTTGTTTTTGAGAATGGTCTTAAGAAAAGTCTGATGAACACCTTAAATTGATCTACGTAAAAGGACGTGTGACTGCAGGGCCGTGCGCACACAGAAATCGAAACGTTCGAAATAAAGTCTAAATTGGGGGAGCACCGGACTCCAAACATAAACAAAAAAACGTCAATAGGAGGTACTAAGTGAGTACCAAATGTGCTCACTGACACCACTACACTATGTAGTAGTGTCAGTGTATAGGACAAAAGATAACATCATGGGGTGCTGTTACTTGGTCAGTGTTTAAGTGTTTATTTATTTTAAAAGACCATAATGCTTTATAAATTAATACAAATAATTACTTAAAAAAATGATAAATGATACAAATATTATTGTAAGATAAATAAATACCGAAGAAGAAATCCCAATGAGAAAACATTGGTGAATGTCTGAATCGTCATGCTTGCTGAATCAGCGTGTTTGTTTGTTTTTTAGATATTATTTCAAGAAGGTAAGCGACGAGTTTGACTGCGGGGTGGTGTTCGAAGAGGTGCGTGAAGATGACGCCGTCTTGCCCATCTTCGAGGAGAAGATTATCGGGAAAGTCGAAAGAATTGATTGACGGTCATGTTGAAGAGGGAGGAGTCAAAAGAAGGCAGCGTGTGATGGTGAAGAGGAAGTGTTTGACGATTGAGACCAGAGGTGCAGAAAGAAGAACCATAGAAGGGGATCCAGAGTTGAGGAGCAAAGCAGTGGTCACGATGGACGACTCGTGACTTTTGAGGCTCGGTATCACCGCTGCAGAGACGGCGGACTGGAAGAAGAAAAAGACCTCATTCACTTCTCCGGAGTGTAATGTAGCATTGTAATGTTTACTAGAAAAATGAAGGAACGAAAGTGCTACTAAAGCTACATATTTTTGATATGATGCATCAGATTGTTTCTAAAGTAACCACACTTGTCTTTTTATATATGTATTGGTAACAGATGTGTACAGTTTGTGTTAAAAGATAACAACATTTTATATCTATTTAAGTATTTAAAATGCTCCTTTTCAATCCTATGGAAGCAGGAGAGTCGCCGCCGTTGAAGACGATCAAAATCCTTTTTAGGGCTGAATTGTGTTTCTTTGATTCATTGTAAGAGCGCCCTCAGTGCTTTTAAAGAATCACTTACCAGGACTTTATTATGTGGCATTCAGTCAGTCTGCACTTTCATTGTATTATATGCCACTGACTATATCCCAACGTAGGCTGCAACATCAATTTCTAAAGCACCAAACATGAGCGACCAGAAGACCTGAATCCGCTGTAAAGTCTGCTGCAACCCAGCTCACCGGCCCAGCGTCTGAAGGTGGTACTCTTCACTCTGCAGAAGATTTCTGGTCATTTTTGAGGCTCAAACACTTTTCACAAAGTTATTATTTATTGTAGGGCTGTTTTATTGGGTTGCACGACTGCATATAGTTGCTGCTTATCTAGTGTGTACTGCATGTGAGTGTAGCTGATGGCTGTGAGTATGTACAGGTGAAGTTTTAAGAAAATTGGCTATAGAAGTAATGCAACAATATTTTTTTTTTAAGGTGAATATCTATGCAAGTTGGTTCCCCGAATCCAAAAACTGCAAAGGGCTCCTATATTTATTCACTCCGTAGGAAGTTAGGTCAATGTTCAAAACCGTTAGAGGCGGGCTGGGCAATATACTGATATTGTATCAATATCATATGAGACTAGATGTCCTCTTAGGTTTTGGATATCATAATTTGGCATAAGAGTTGACTTGTCCTGGTGTTATAGGCTGCATTACAGCAAAGTGAACTTACCAGACTGTTCTGTTATTTGCCTTTTCCCACTTAGTCAACATGACAACATGACATTATTTATCACAAATCTCATTGTGGAAACATTTCCTAAATGGTCAACTCCACAATATCGTTGCAATATCGATATCGAGGTATTTGATATTTGATTTTCTCCGTATTGCTCAGCCCTATTAGCGGCTAAGTGTAAGAACAGCCAGGCTTTTAAAAGCCTGTTTAATTCATTCCTCTTAATTTAGGCCTTTGTTTAGATCATAGTTTAATCAATTCATCAGGCTGACATTTCAGTTGTGTCAACAAGCTAAAGGTTCCACAATTATGAGTCCTCATTGTGGAGTAATTTGACCTTTTTTTTTAAATGAGTCGGTGCCAATGAATATTCTGAAAACAATTATTCTTAAGACACTAAGAACACATTGAAGCTCATGCTCACAGTGCAGAGAGGCTCCCCCACTGCTCAGCAGAGGTCACATCACAGCATTTGAATGAGAAGGCCAGTGAATGTCATCAGAACACCATCCAACGTTTGTGCAATGCAGGTCACATGAAGGCATATTAAACATAGTGTAGGTGCTCTATTTTACAGTCTGTAGAGGAGAGCTAACACACACTGAAATGTTGAGTTCACCGTGTTTACATCAAGTTATTTATTTTTTCCTGGAGTTGTTTATTTCCGCGATCCCCAAGACCTACCATCTTAAACTTAAAATCACTGCTTAGTGGATGGATCAGTGAAGGAGGGGCTGATCTCTGACCTGTAGCCTTCTCTAGTTGATCACAGCTACATCTTGTGCCTGGCAGGAGGAGTTGTTTAGTGCAAGTGACCTCCTTTTGATGGATCACGTTACACCAAAGAGAGAAAAAAAAATAAAAGGTAGATGGTAGGCGCTGTGGGCCGGCGGTTGAATCTCCCTTTTACATTGATATCCCCCTTCGTTCTGTGGTAGCACTTATTATTCGGTGTCTTTGTTATTTCTTTTATATTCAATCATTGAAGCCGTTGCACAAAAGAGCAGAATGTTCTTTGCAATGGACGAGGTGTGTGCGGTTTTCTGATGCATCTTGTTCGGAACATCAGCTTTGAAAACATCACATTTAGACCTCATTATTGCAACACTGGAGAAATGTCTCGCCCATTAGCATTTCCTGTCCCCTCTATTTGGCGTTGTAAAATAAATATGTATGCACTGGAATAGTGAAACTGAAACTCCTGTGGGGAAGGAACATGACGTTAAGATTCAAGGCCAACATGTTTCTTTTTCTTTTCGCTGTACCTCGTCATCGCGCAGTAAGGACAACTTAACAAAAGTGTTTTTGTTACGGAATACTCGGCAGAAAGATAGTGGACCTTGACACCAGAGTGCTGAGTCATACGTGTTGCTGCATAGAAGCCCAGTGTAAGGAACATCTCCTCTCATGAAATGCTGCCTTTTGTTTTTCTAGATTTCTAACTTAAATCAGTTTCGCTTTAATATATTTACTGCTTCCAGTGGTCCTTTGTTTGTTAAATCATACGTTGAGTACGTGATCAAGTCAAATACTATAAGTATTATCTCGATTCTCATTGTTTATTTCTTTTGAAATATCTATAGAGTATCAGATCTGTTATGATTCTTACTGTGAAAGCCCCAAAAGTTCCCTTATTTAAGATCAATGAACTGTATATAATAAACAGAGTGCCTTTATTACTATGCTGATGATGTCTGCTGTGTGACTTCCAGACAGATGTGAGGACATGCATATCGGGGATTTGCTTTATATTTTTTGTGTAGACATTTTTTTTTTTGTCTTTCTTGTTAAATGTTTGTCACTATTCCACCTTTTCTATGTAAATATGTAAAACTTAAATTTGTCATCAACCAGCAGCCCAGTCAGCACATTCAGCATCCTGGACCTGTTTCTGTTCACTAACTTGCGTGGTTACCGTTTAAAGGTACCCGGACAATAAATACATGCAATAAAACCAGCGCTTGACTTCTGAGTGTAATTGACCCAAACTGTTTGTCATTTGATGCATGCAACTCTGTGTTTGTGTTTGAGTTGATCAGAATTTAAAGTGGCTCTGTGGTATTTTCTTTGAAATAAATGTCTGCTAAGTCACTACACGTATGTTTAAAAACTGTAACACACCCATTTATTAATACTACAAATATATGAATATTGCAATACTTGTATCAGTGGGTCATAGGCTCAATCATTAGGCCATGGATAGTGACTTAACAGACATTTATTCACTTTAAAGGTTTCCCTGACATACTGCAATGTTAGCCTTTAGACTGAAGAGGGCACTGTTCACTGTCAATATTCAAAATACTTTGTTCATCTCAGAGATTCTTCCACCAAAAGTTTTTGGACAAACATATTTGATGTTATTGGGAGAATGAATTGTGGATCAATGTGTACACTACTGCTCAAATAAAATAAATAAATGATTGGACGGCCTACCTGCCTGTCTACCCATCCACCTGCATGCACTCTGCATGTGCACTAATAGTGCGTCACTGGAGTCTTCCACAGGCTGCTAGCTTGACAGCTGTAAATTCTAACAATAGCCATGTTCCTTAAAGGCCTGAAGGGATGGGCTGTCAGTGTTGCCGACCTGGTGACTTCCATCTGTAGCTTCAACATCTTCAGCCGTCATTGAACAGCAATGATTGCTTCCTCCAAGGTCTCACCCATTGTCCTTATGAGCCTCTATGATTAGCTTCCCCTTGTTTCCCTGTGTTTGCTGAAGGTTCACCGTGTTCCCTCAAATCTTTAACACTGCCAACCTAAATGCAGTGAAGATGTACCTTATTTCAGAAACAAAGGATTCACATCGGGTCGAACAATCAGCCAATTATAACCAAACATGGAAATCTGATTTCCCTTCGGCACCTTAAAGGTAGAATTGTTTTTCAAATGTTTAAATTGCATCTACAAAACTTCTACTTTTACAAGTGCTTTAATAGACAGATTTTTTCCTCTGATAATTGCGTCCTTTATGTCATCTGCTGTTATTTCACGATCACGAGAAACAAAGTACAATCTGTGTCACTCGTTATTGATCATTTCTAGCCCTGCTGTGCATCGAGAAATCCAATACAAAACCAACAGCTTAGCTGAAAAGTTTTGAACATCGTTGTGTAAATGTCAATTCAGTGTGCTTCTTTTACGAGCTTCATTTACTCACCGGTGTCTTCTCTTTAAGTGCAACGTGACGCCGTGATGCCTTTGACTCTGCTCTCAGAGAAAAAGCCAGAGATCTCTGAGATCTCTTGAGAGGGCTGCTCTGCTCGGCTTAATGTCGCTTCTTAGTCCTGCAGCAGAAAACAGCCGCTTAAAGCTTAAAGCGGCGATAAGAAGCAAATTGATATTTCCTGTTTTTTTCTTGGATAAATGATAATCATTTTCCTGCAAACCCCTCAAAGATGGATGATGGATGGATGGATGGATAGATCTCACAGCAGAAAATATTTTATTTGGTCATGTAAGTATATTACATTGTGTTCCAAAACATTTTGATAAATATCTATTTAAATATATATATATATATATTCTTCTTATAATCTACAGGCTGTTACATTTGAAAACTCTACATAATGAAAGAGAGGATACTTTACACAACGTGGGAGGCAACGGGCAAGCAAACAAAGAAACAATAATTTGTCAGTGCAAAGGAGAATGTTCTGTCTGGAAATTGGTTTCTCAGGCTTTACACATTCTGAGCAGAACACGGCTAGAAGACAGGAAGCAGCTCTGAGGTAGGACGCAAGCTTACAGAGGAACACAGAGAGAAAGAGAGATACACTGAGGATCTGCTTTCATCTGGAGAGAGAAACCATGTCAATGCTGATCAATGCTTTCACAGCTTTTAAATACACAAAACACACCTTTTAAAAGACACATCTCTTCAGTGCACCCATTGATAAACAATACTAATTTAAATATATAATATTTCACACCATAGAGAAACATGCCATGATTACAATCATTGCAAAATACAAGTAAAGCAAGAAAATGTGTCCAGTTTTCTACCTCAATCTAAAGTATTTTACCAAGAACGGTTTCATTTCATCAGAAACTGATAAACACTTCTTCCCAGATGTATTTGACACCTGATTCTTGAATGCTGGTATGACATTGAAATGTAACTGAATATCATATTTGCACACAAAACCTTTTTGTATGTTACAGCATATATCATTCAAATATACCAGTAATATCTTGACAAGACAGAACAGCATCTGCATGCAAGATTCAAAGGAAACGGAGCAAACAACTGCTCCGGTTAGAAAAACCACGAGCTCAATAAGAGACGAGCACTTTAAAAACGAGTCACAATCAGACGGTTGAGTTTGTGTGAGGGAAAGACGGAAGAGATTACCGTAACGGACCATAAAAGCTACAGTCCCACATGGTTTTGGAAATGCTGCAGTGTTGTTAATGACTGGCCTGTAGCTGACCTGACGAGGAGAAGCACCACTTTGCAGAGGAATGCCATTTCTTCAGACTTTATGAGCAGGTTCAGACCCTGAATCTCTATCGCAACCTGTTTGAGGTCAAACAGAAGAACAAACAGTGCTGACATACATTCACCAACCTTTGAACATCTTTGGAAAGGTGAAACAAACTGTGACATTATGGGACACATTCTATGCCGCTTTTAAAAAGTGCTGTAATAATTCTCAAATGCTGAAAAGACTTAAATGTCCAGTGTGTAGCCTTTATGGAAACCTTTTAGCAGAAGTGGAATATAACATTCATACGTTTTCATTAGTGTATAATCACCTACAAATTGTTGTGTTTTGCTTTTGTTAGCTTAGAATGAGCCCTTCATATCTACATATGGAGCTGGTCTGGCTCCTCACATTGTCATTCCGTATGGGGGGGGGGGACACTGCGGCTTGTTTGTATTTCTTTAAACAGGTCACGATCCATGTGGGCGGTGCTAAGCGCAGAATATAGACAGTGCCCTTTCAAAACAGACGGCCAATGGCAGCAATCTACATTCAGTGATTCAGCCCCATCTCCTTAAAATGATGTTCCCAACTGCATTGTGAGTTATGTTACGGAAACATGTTTTGTAGGAGACAGGGTTGGGTCGTTCCGACGACCTGAACGCAGATCCGGCGTGTCCATAAAGGCAGAATAGGTGGTGGTCTGTGGCAGTACCGTGGCAAGGTCGGGGAAATGTGGGCCAACTGCGCGAAATCGCAAAGTAACCAACAAAGATTATCAAAATGCCTGCATACTTTGATGTTGTTGACACTGGGAGCACTATCTGCGTTTGTGTGCTGTTGCTGGTATGATATGTTGCAAACTGAGGGGCGGCAGAGTTGTTTGTTCGCAGAAATTCATGCGCCGGTCCTGCCTGAAGGCCAGCTTCTCTGACGCCATTGGAAAGGGGGCGTTGAGCCGAGGGGTACTCAGTTGGTTGCAACATCACTGTTAGATAAGACAATACACACTGGACCTTTAAATATATACCAAGCTTCAGGCCATAGTTAAGGCAAATGGTGGAAACAGAGACATTTTCATTCTTAGTATCAAACCTTTGTGACTGAGTGTTTATGTGTTAGTGGAACATTATGGGAGTGAATATTTGACAAAGATGATGAAACAAACCCATATTTGGTTGTGGGCTCACTGTTTTAACTGTATTTCAACACTTTTTTCATCTGCGTAAATGTGTTTCATTTCATTTCTCCTTTTTGTCACCAAAACTGTGACTGTCATTATGAGCATTTAACACATTTCTTGCTGCAGTGTCATGCTTTCACATAAGGCAATCTGTAATGAGCCTGTAAGTGCTGAATCACTTATCAAGTCTGCCGTTGAAAGGGCAAATTCAGTGTCACCGTGGCTTCTCTTGGCTCTCCAATCCGCCTGTTAATCATTTCACACTCATTCTGTCGCACGTTCTCCTCGTTCATATGCGACACCTCCGTGGATCCTGCTTCGAACCCGGGCACAGTGTTGGCTACGTGGACCACGTGGACCTTATTCCTCCCGTTTTTACTGAGGATGCAGCTGAACACCTTCTTGAAGCCTTTGCGGAAGTGCTTGGACACCAGAGCGTACACGATGGGGTTGACACAAGAGTTGGCGTAGGCCATGCAGTGGGAGAGAAGCCTGAAGGCATACGTGGTCTGGTTGAAAGGGAAGTCTCCGTACAGGTAGCACAAGATCACCACATGGTACGGCAGCCAGCAGATGCAGAAGAGCACCGTGACAATGATGATCATTTTGGTGACTTTGCGTTTGGCCCTCTTGGATTCCGACATGCCGTCCAGAGGGTCCACTGCCGTCCACAGGTACTTGATGGTTCGAGTGTACGAGAGACTCACGATCAGCACGGGGATGACGTAGCCGAACAAGAAGGTGCACGTGTCCAGCACCTTCCGGTTCTGCTCCTCCCAGCCGGGGATGCACACGGTGCTGTTGGCGTAGTCGATCAGGTCGTAGTAGCTGAGATAAGGACCGGCAAAGACCAGAGAGAGACCCCAGATGATCACCATGGCGACCACCGCGTTACACGGAGTCCGTAGCTCTCTGGAGCGCAGCGGGTAGCGGATGGCGAGGTACCTACGAACAGACAACACAGTGACACGTGATCCAAACCACGTGGTGCTGAGTGTCATCATTATAGGCTGAAAGAAAACTTGGTATAAAAAATGTGTACTAATATAACAATATTATGACAGAAGATAAAAAGTGAAATAGTTTACTGGTCAGGAATCAATGAATTATTTAATCAGCCCAGTGAAACCAAAAGTGCACGATGACCTTACGTTTGTTACGTAACTTGCATGAGAAAGTCTGCTGAGGGCGCTTGTGATTTTCTGTTACAGTAGTTCTATTGATACGTTATTATTTTAACACAAAACATCTTTTAGATCTTTTTTTAACATTGACTTTTGTTTACTTTTGTTGCCTAAACTTCACCAACTGATGAACAACTTTATCCACGTGGCATCGTGCGTTTCTGCAAGAGTGATACGAGGCTGAATATGAAATGTATTTGTGAGTCATATTTTTGATTCAATAAAAAGAGTACTCCAGAAAGAAAATTGATTTTGAGGTGTCTACTCTCAGAAATAATTTAATTTGGGTTAAATGAAACGGAGACTAAATGTTGAAAGTTGATTCCAGTATCTACATTTCAGTTGTGGATCACAAATTGAACCCGAAACGTAATCATTTTCTGGTTTCAAAGGTTCAGCTGGCATATTATGAATTAAATGTTACGTCACGACACAGAGAGCATTGTCTGAGTGAAGACAACGTGACAATTGATTGTGGTTTTACTCCCCCATTAGTTTGATTATATGAAGGGAATGTCCACTGAGGAAGCTGCCACCTCCACACTCGCTGTTACGAGCATCGTGGCTCACACTGAGGCTTCTGTGTTGGATGATAATCAGTGACACCTCAGTCGTTTGTGGGTTTCATTGAATACAAAACACCTCAGGGAAATATGTCAAACTGGCTGTGATATCTACAGAAAGGTTTTCAGTCGGATCGGATCGCGCATGCATCTCTTGGTAAAACCAGCACAGAACATGACTGTGCCTTGTGCTGTGCTCTTGATGTTGCTGAGCAGGTTGGTGACAAAGCAGCGAATCCCACCACACATCACATGGCGTCATGAAGAAAGAGCCTGATGTTTTCATGACAGATCTCTTTCAATATTCTGACACCACACTGCTTTTCACACATTATTGCTGAGGTCATTGCCTCTTCGTCACCTGGTTTGCTCCTCTTTGAACATGTAAAGCTGTATTTGCCATATTAAACATGCTGCTTTATGAGCTCAGGTTCTCTGAGGGCTTCTCTGTTTCCAGGGGCAAGCTGCAAATCCATGTCATCCCTCTGCATTTACAGGACACTTCAGATAGCTCTCGAGAGTCAGAGGCATCCGCCTTTGGTCTTTGAAACCTGACTGAAATGGGGCCAAAGACACTTTCAACATGAGAGAAAAAAGCACATGGAGGCTCGATGACTTGGACAACTGCAGGTACTCAGAAAGGATTTTTGATGTTGTACGAAAGCATGAGCTAATGAACAGTTCATGTCTGACAAGATGCTTTGCTTTTAGTGCTTTGAGATAGCTATTATCAGATACCAATTAAATGTAGAAAAGCAGACTGGGAAACATCTTTTATGCTGCGAATTATAGACTCCCCCCATTGTCTGTGAAATTGAAACGGCTAAATTTCAATGTATCCCCATACTTCACGATGTAGGCCTACTGGTCAATCCAGATGCTGTTTCAATATTTTCTTCCGAAATGCATCACTGAGTGATCATATTGGATTTTTGACCAAACATGCTTTATTATGTGTAACTGCAGCCTTAACAGATGTTTGTTTTAATGTGGAGTTTAAAAAGAAAATCGAGAAATCGAGTTTTCCATTTGTTGGAGTTGGAGGCACAAATGATATATTATCCTACATTACCTCAGTTACTTATTAAGTCAAGTATTTGTGCAAATTAACTCCCTGATTAGAAGCTATACTGGCAAATTGTTTTGTTCTGTATTGAATCATTTTCACTTGGGATATTTCTCTGGCATAAAATCACAGTCAACGTATGATCTGCCTTTGGGCGGCTCACTGTAGCAGCAAATACTTTCCATTAAAAGTGTGTGTGTGTGTGTGTGTGTGTGTGTGTGTGTGTGTGTGTGTGTG